GTACACTCTGATAGTTGATCTGAAAATGTTAATAAAATTAACAATTGTTGAAAAAGATATCTTCAGTGTACCTTTGCAACTTCTGTTCTGTAAAAACAATTCAAGAAACAGGAAACAAATACTGGCAAATAAACTTACCTTACAGAATGAAATGGTGATACCAGTTTCTTTTTACTTCTTAGAGATCTTCTTAGATTTCTTGTTCAGTTGTCACATTCCATGTTTCTGGTACTCACTTTTAAATTATCATGTAAAACCGTGAATTAAAGGTATACACGATATATATGAGATATAGAAGTAAAAAAAAAATCATCCTGTTTAATCAAATTAAGAATTCCAACTTTTGATGGAATGTCAGTTCCTGATCCTAATAATAGAATCAAGAAGTCAGGAAGATTCAACTGGCTATTCCCAAATTTCTATAAAATTAAATGGTTCAATTATGAAGAATTAAAAAAGACCCTTCCAACCTCTGATGTTAAAATATTTTAATGTCAAGTTTAAAGTGGCCTTAAATGCACTTAAATTCCTGTAACTGTTAACTTATTCCAAGATCATTATAACATGTATAAATAATGTTGTAATTGAATATGTACAAAAAATGTATTAACCCAATAAAGCACTTTCATTTCCCCCTATCCCCTTTTCAGTGTACTACAGGAGGCACTATTGATTTGCTCTATGGTTGGGTTGTTGTCTCTTTGACACATTCCCCATTTCCATTCTCAATTTTATTTGTAATATTTGTATCATATTTGAGTATTTGTCTAATGTAAACCATATTTTGGGGTAAATTTTTAAATTTGGTTATTTTTGCAATCCCATAATATTTAAGCTAGGATTTTTTGCTGATTGGCATCTATATAATAGATAAACATATGACGTTTGCAGTAAATCAGTTACTGGAAATAATTTAAAGAACATAAATTCAAGTATTTCCCAATTGTGGCTAACATTGGACACCTACTAAAAAGGGAGGTAATTGAATCTTCTATGCAATATGAGAACAGTTATTATTATTGATATTTTAAAACCCCTTTGTTGTTGTTAACAATTCAATATTTTAAGTTATATACTAGTGAAAGAGGTGTGTTAATGCAGCATATTCTGAAATGTTAGTGCATTAATCAAAACAGCTAAAACAAAATAATAACATATCAGTTGACGAGATAACTATATAAAAACAAATTACTTATAAAAAAGAAAATCTGTATAAATATTTACAAACTTAGGTTTATAGAAGTACAGAGAAACTAATTTTTTATTTTTTTATTTTAGGGAGTTAGCCATAGCAACTGGCGGAAGTGCCAGAAAACTGCAATGGAAGAAAGCCAGAGAGGCAGTTATACCAACAAAACAACCCAGGGCATCCGTCAACCAAAGAAATATTTCTATTATGAGTTCCTCAACATCATCACCCGTATCTTCTCCTGGTGCGTCTCCTGTATCTACTCCTGCACATTCTCCAGAAACTTCACCCACTCAATCTCCAATGATTTCTCCTGCTTCTTCAGTCACCTCTCCTGCACCAGTATTTACAGAACAGCTTCCACAGACAAACAGTATAGGAATTCATTTCAAAGTTGGAGACAATGTCTGCATTGCAAGTGGCGGCAAGTCTTGTGACTTTGCAACCGTGGAAAAGATATGGAGCTCAAGAGTGGACATTACCTACCTAAAAAAAGCTGGGCCTAAGCTAACAACATGGAAGTTAGGAAGTGGTAAACTTTACAAAGACAGTATCCATAAGAACAGTGTCTTTCATTGCTTGGGCAAAATAGATCAAGTAGAGGGTCAGCTGATGCAGACAATAAAGAAAAAACTGAATAGCCTTTTTTAATAGACAATTTGGTAAAAACATGTAAAGTTTGACTTTTGAATTATGTTATCTTATTGTTATTGAAATTTTATTTTCAGATTTTATCAAAATTTATATAGATATAAATTAACAGTATTTTAATCATAGGCTAAGCTAGTTGATTGTTTTTTGTATATATTTATGTAAATATTTCAGGTTTCACTTTAAATATATTATATAAAGTACTGATTGAATTAAAATATATTTAATTCATTTAAGGATGTTCTCTCCTCTTCTATTTTAAAATTTGCCAGTAATTGGGAATCCTCTTGTTTTGTTTTATCCATGAACTACCATTTAAAAAATTAGCACACTAACTCTGACTTTTTTCCCTTAATTGTATCACATATAGTTTAAAATGTCATGTTTGAAAATCTATGAAAATCCTTGTTTTTTTTTCATGGTTTTTGAAAGAAAAAAGGTGCCAATGTTAAATGTCGGAAAAGTCTAGAGAAATAATTATTTCCCGCCAAATTTTCAGTGCCTTATATCTCGAAAACAAGCACACAGACCACTTATTTTTTTCTGCTTTTCCAGTTCCTTTATTTATATTCAATCAATTTGTAATATAGTCATTTAAAAAGCTTATTATTTTTAAACAGAGTAGCAAATATCCTTAAAGTAAAGAGATAAGAAACACAAAAATTACTTTGTTTATTGTTTAACCTAATTGTCCTGTATTTTTATTGTTATGAATGTTGAATTGTCACTTTACTGTTTGTCATCTTGAAGGATAAAATTAAATTTCTTTTTGTTGAGACTTTGGGTTTTCCCTGTGTTATTGTTATAGTATTTATAAGTTCAAAAATGGTTAGTGAGGGTAGTTGTATAATAGGTTCTTGTTTTGGGGTAAAGAAATATATGGGTAATATATGCAAAGAAATTCTTTGGCGGTTCAAAAGGTGGGGTTCAGTTATGTTATATAATTTTTGGGTTTTATTTCACAGAAAGTGCTCGCAGTAATTAAGACAGCCAGTCCACATAATAATGTATGATTACAATAACAAATATGACTTCAGTCCATTTAAATAATGTATTGGACATTTTGTATTTTGTTTTGTTTGAATAATGTTGTTATAATATATATCATTTTATAGTTAATAATGTTATTAACGTGATTAAAATTGCTAGCTAGAAAAGAGAAATGTTACTGCGAGCAACTAAACCTATACCTAGAGTTTTGTTTTATTTATTATACGGAGGATTAACAAATGCAGAAAAAAAAACTGTTTATAATAGATTTACATATTATTATCTACACTTACACTTCCAAAGAAAATAATCTGCATTTAATTCATTAAGGGGAATAACTCTAACTAAACAATGGGAAAACTAGTTTGACCTAGTGTTTAGTACATTCAAGACAGATTTTAGCATGTCGAGAATATATCAAGAAAAATTAAGACACAATTCAAAATGTTCAGAATGTGTCGAGACATAATGAGGAAAAAAAAGAATGTCGAGAATCTGTCGAGACATAATGAGAAAAAAAAAGAATGTCGAGAATCTGTCGAGAAATTTTAAGACAGTATTTAAATGTCGAGAATTTGTCGAGAAATTTTTAGACAGTATTCAGAATGTCGAGAATATGTCGAGTAAATTTCATACTTATTTAATATAAGTCAGAATTTGTCAAGAAAAATTAAGACATAATTCATTCTTTTTGAGAATGTCGAGTAAAAGTTCATGCAAATCGAGACAAAAACTGGTCTTTTCAGACTTTTGGACTTTTGTAGTGTATAAGACTGGGTGACATGTGTCCTAAGGACAACATGTTTAGTTGTAATTGCAAATGGTTTAAATAATCCCCGGCTATATTCATAAGGTCCTTTATTTCACCTATTATCATGTCCATATGCAAATAAGCTTGTAAATAACTTCCCATAACTTCAATTTGTTTTTCTAAATCCGTAGCAAAAGTTTGAAGTCTATTTCCAAGATCTTGAACACTTTCAATCAACTCATTAACCTTGTGTCTATTTTCAGAAACATGTGTTTGTGTAGTGTTTAAGATAGTTAACCCATCTTGAACAATATGACGAATTGCATCTTGATTTTGTGCCAAAGTTTTGATATTTCTTCGAATTTTTGACAGGTCGCTGTCTGATACAGTACCAAATAAAAAACTTAATGCTTTGCCTATAATAGGAAATAAGCTACGTTTAGTTTTAAACTTTGCCGTTTCGTCGTAATATAAAGATTGGTAATCATTGAATTGTGATTGTAAATACTCTTTAGTCCGATTTAATCCTTCAACCTCCCTTTGTAGACTTAAGATAGTAGCCAAAATGTGTTTTTTTTCTGGGGTGTAAAACATAGAAATTGTGTGAACTTTTTGTGTAGCGAGAAAAGCCTTGCCCAAGTCTTGTTCTATTTTATTAAGAAATAATTCAAAAGGATCCAAGTCTACGACAAAAGTAATGAGCCAATTTGACCTTGTGGTTGATATTTCCTTAATTTTTTGAAACATGACATTTTCCTTGACAATGAATTGGCTGGTTAAGCCAAAAAGAACAAGTGAGAACCACCACCACTTCATCACTGGTTCTCCCTAAAAATAATGATACATATATAAATTATCATAATATATTTTATTTATCTGGCCTTTATCAATTTTGGAATTCATATGATAGTCCTGAATAAAATGTTTGGTTGTTTTCCTTCACAGTCTCAAATTTAATGATCAGATCGAAAATGCGTATCCGGTGCATTTTCCTTGCCTTGTTTAGAATCACTTCTTGGTGGTAAACCCCAAAGCGATTGGATCGTTTTAACCATCCAATGGCTTTGAAGTTCTCCACCGTCCACTTCCTAAGATGCTCCTGATAGGATAAGTTATGTATTTCGGCAAATTGTTTCCGGCGTCCAATTATTTCTGCGAATTTTGTGGGTAAACCACAATAATTGTCAATTATAATTGGATCCGACAGGTTAATAAGCTTCTGTATAGCGTGGAATTCCTTAAATAGAGGTTCCCTTCTCTTTCTATCTAGTATTTCCCGGAAATAATTGATCTTAAATTTTACATATATGTCCCACCATAAATTATCAGGTAATAGTTTCCACAAATAGAGGGATTCTAGCTGGGCAAAGCTTTCTTCATTGTCTGCCATTCTGTAAAATGAGAATAAATACTAGTTAAAGTAGTCGATATTCTTCAAAAATAAAGAAAAGTAAAAAGATAAAACACAAAAGAAAGTCAAGAAGTAGGTCAGTTTCTCCTAGAATAAGGAGACGATCCAGGTCAGTAAGTTATTCTAAAAGGTCAAGGTCACCAAATATTGATAGGAGATCTAGATCAAGAGGAAGATATTCCAGGTCAAGATCAAGGGATAGATATCATAGGAGATCTAGGTCATTTAGCAGAGACAGAAGATTGAGGTCATTTAGTAGAGATAAAAGAAGGTCAAGATCATTAAGTAGGAGTAGACGATATTCAAGATCATTAAGTAGAGACAGACGAAGGTCAAGGTCATACAGCAGAGACAAAAGAAGGTCATTTAGTAGAGATAGAAAAAGATCGAGATCAAAGGAAAGATACAGAAAAAGATCAAGGTCACATGATAGACATTCAAGGTCAAAAAGGTATATAATTTAAGCTAAGTCCTATGTAGAAAGAAGAAATGAAAGTTTTGTAAAACAGAAATGTCTTTCTTTTTGTGTGTGGAAAAATAAGGTTTTTAAACCATCTTTTTACCTGATGTTTGTCCATTTAAAGACTAGTATCTGGGTTTCAAAACTCTTTGTGCTTTATATATGTAAGTAAAATCTGTTTCCTTTCATCAAATCCATGTTCTATCTTTTACTGTATCAAAGACTTTCACAAATCTATGTTAAGGTATTTTTTTCTAGTTCATGGAATTTTTCCAGTCATCATTTAGGTACAGTCTGTGGTGAAAGACTGCAAAACTTGAATAATTTTGTCATTCCTTCATCATGTTCATGGAATTTACAAAACAAAAAAGTCAAATTTCGACCCTATTCGGAACAAGAACACATGAATAGTGACAAATGCTTTGTCCTATACAAATCACAGCTTGATTTTAATGTGCTAGTTGACAGGGTAATATTCTTCTGCAAGACATGACACCCCACCTAAACTTCTTATTTTAATTTTAAGTGAAACAGTCTTTTTTCTAACTCATAAAGATTGCATTCTTGGCAGTGAAGCATCAAATACCAAATTTGGAGTCTTTCTGGTTTTACCCTGTGGTAGATTCAGCCTCAAACTGTCGACTTTCCTGTTCAATGATTGAAGCAAAACAACAATTAATATGTAAAGCTTATAACATAACATTGATTATGATAACTTAACAAATATTTAAATCTACAGATATTGATGGTATATATATGTTGTTTTATATATTTTTAAAGATTGATTTGTCAAAAGTAGAGCCAAATTGATATTGTTTGCATTATACATGTTATATTATTTGTTTCAGAAGAATGTTATCAAAAGAAAGCCAAATTGATAGTGTCTAAATTAAATCAGATCATTTACATATCAGTTTTATATTTATAGGTCTAGATCAAAAGATCGTTCACGGAGAAGAGATTCAAGAAGTTCTTCTAGAGATAAAGCTAAAGAGTAAGAAGCTTCTTTAATAAGATTTATTAGACTGAAATAGCAACACTACAACAAACTGTCAAATTTAAATAAATGACTTCTCATGAGGTGGATTCAAGGATTTTTTAACTTAAGAATTATATATTTACTGAGGCCAAAAGCTAAGGTTGATCATAATTTTCTTTGGATGATGGACCTACTATTTATCAAATTGAATGTCAATAATTGTACTTTTACATATGTGGGGTTCATGAGAAAGCATCCTAAAGAGTCTCTTCGTATGATAGTCATCCATTCTGTTATGATTTGAAAAGAAATTTATTCTGTGCACAAGAGAGTAGCAGACAGTTTGAAGTTGCACCATCAGCATGTATGTATGTATGTACTTCAAGATTCCGCCAGTGTAGACGCACCCCTTGATTGACTGCAAGGGTACAGCGGATCCATGTGCACTCCCTAAGGATTAATGGAGATGTGTCCTTTACAATATTAACCCACCACCAGAACAATCCCCACCCCAACACCGCCCAAGGGAGCGTGTAAGACACCGGGAAGTCTGTTATTATGGTGGAGGAAGCCGAAGTACTCGGAGAGAACCACAGGGCTTCTCGGCGGGAACAGACAACCCGAAGAGATTTCAGAAGATTGATCTCCAGGTCAAGCTGGGAACAACTTTGACCTACCGAGGCCCCCGAAGTATCCAATCTAGTTTAAACTCCGGTCTGGATACCAGAGATGTGTGTGGGAGGGTTAAATTAACCTACTGATGTACTGAAAATTCGAAGTCTCGAGTGAGAATCGAACTCGGGACCTTCAGCACTGTAGCCATCGGTCTTAACCAGTAGACCAGGAACCCACACATCATCAGCAGAAAAAGGGGGAAAGTTGAAAACTCCAAAATCTAGTTTAAATCTACTGCAAGTTAATGTGCTTGTTCTTAGTCAGTTAGGCATAGGTGCTTTTCTTTATATGTTTTTTTTTTTCCTTTTAAAAATTTGGTGTTGATGGTAATACCTGTGAAATTTATTCACAACTTGTTAAGCCTAATGGGATCTAGATAAGAAAATAAGAAAATTGTGGGCACACATTAATGAGACAACACAAATAAACTCTTTACTTCTAGAGGGCAAACATAGAGTCTTCACCAATAGAAAGGTGTATGCAATATGTCAAGACCTTAATTGTCCTACCTATATTAAAGTTTTTAAGTTATATACAAGTACAAAAAACTAATATCAATAGACATCAATAGATAAAATTGTATATATATGGCTCATTTACCTATATTATAAAGATTTATTCAGTCACATGACAATTTATGGAATTTTTCACTTTAGTGTACAAACCTTTTGACAGATAGTTGGTTTATGTCTGATGTATATATTTTATAACTTTTGATTGTTGGCTGTTTTATTAAGATTATCTTTTATTTCTTACAGAGACCCATGTGCAAATATTCCTGGATTTGAAGATATGGTATGACATATTGTTTACTACAATAATTCATTATTAAAATCTGTAGAATGGTTGTTTTAACGTAATAAGATATAGGTAGTGTCAAGACCTAGACAATGACAAAAAGTATAAACCAGCACACATTCACAAAGATATTTGCACCTATAAAACAGACAATATGACAACAAAAGCTATAGTGATATGTAGCAATGAAGAGTGAAATCAGATATTCTGGAGGGGTAAGCTTATCCTGCTCTGTATGTTGTGTCCTTTACATTACCCTTATCAACATAAATTATATAATATTTCATGAAACATACAGCAATACAAAACTTATAGAAGTCATCTGATGTGCCTTAACAAATCAGATATACAAATTTTTTTAAACAAACAAATATTTCACTTTAGGTAATATCCGAGGTATAAAAAAAGACTGAGTTTTTTATAATTTGCCGAAAGGTAGTTTATATCAGCTGAATTTCAAGAATTTCACAAAAAGTATATATTTTCATGTTTGTTTTCTATCAACCTGCTTGGCAAGTTCACATATTGTGTAAGTTTCGTACATGTAAAAAGCTAAACTTGATGATAGAATTTTGAAATAAAATGCTTCCTAATAACAGTGATTTTGCTAGGGCTCGTCATTTTCATCATTTACGAAATGGTTTTCAAAATGACAAAAGTATTCCAAATCAATTTTGTCACTTAAATTTGGAAAGAGTAAAAATATTTTCGCATGAAAATACTATAAATCTACCTGTCTTATTGTTTCTGACAAGTTTATGACCCTCAGCTAATTAACATTTACAACAGGTGTTATAAGTTGTGATTACAGATAATCCGCTTATCGCCATTGGATGGGTCACTGATCCGTTAATCATTAATCAACCTCATAATTGATCATCATAATTATTTTCCCCAGTAAAATCAGTCAGTCGGCATTTCAATTTTAATGTTTATCAAACGAGCACAATTTGCAGTGCGTTTGTTGTAGTTTCGTCATTTGAGTTTTCCCTCAGACAGTTCGCATTTTAATTTCAATATTTCTCAAACGATCACAATTTGCAGTTCACTTGTCGTAGTTTCGTCAAAGAACGTATTTTCGTCATATTTGATATAACTTTTAATCATAAACTTTCAAAAATTTCGATTAAAAAGATAGAACTTTATTCATAACATTCAGAAATGTTTTCACGAGTCAAACAGGTGCTTCCTTTATGATGAACTGTGCATGCGCGAAAGTATTCTTATGAATTTAAAGACACTAAAACGTAAAATACGAAATAACTAAGTATCAAACTAAACGAGAGAGACAAATATAGTTCTTATTTAGCAAATTTAATTTAAAAAATTATAATTTCCTGCCTTTTTTAAACACAAACCAATCCGTAGATGAATCTGGATTCATTCTGAATTTATTATCATTCCACTTGTCACTTCTTGTTTTCATTTCATTTGGAAATCGAAAGTAAACGTGATCTATTCATGATAAATTTACAATTTAAAGTCATTAGAATTGTTCCAATAAGGATTTGTACAAATCCTTGGTTCCAACTTTATAAATAAATTCTAAATATCGCTTTTAAACGTTTTTAAGGATAATGAGTATGAATAATGCAGTGAAATAGTCCTTACAAGTTCATTTATGCTGTGATTCCTGGTTTAAAAAAAATGGACCCCAACTTTTGCTGATTAGGAACTGGGACTATTATACTAATAAAATTAGTATAATAGTCCCAGTTAGGAATGTTCCCTGAAACTAACTGAAGTGAAATTGTGAACTAGATTTCTAGATCTTATATCCTAATCTTCATATTAAAGTGCCACATCAGTCAAATCATGCAGTGACTGCCTAATATGCCTAGGTCCTTCAAAGTCTGACAAAGATGTATAGATAGTAATATACATCCTAGGTTCCTTGCTGCTACCCAAAATAAGGTTGATTTTCATCCCGTGCAAAAGTGACTGAAGCCCTCAAAATCCTAACTTAAACCCTGCTAATAATAAATTGGAAATATGGGGGGACACTACATACTTGTTGCATACCAATTAGATAAATTAATGGTTCATTCTGTTGTAAATCTGAAAAATCTGTCTAATATCTCCTTGAAAATCAAAAGTTTTAAAACTCTTAATCAGTAAATATTTCTGTATTTGTAAAAAGCAAAAAATATTACCGTAAATTAAAATATGATTTAAATTACGTTTTAAGATGAAAGTCCACCAAAAAAATGCACTTAATCATCCCATTTTGCTACTATCAGTTAAATTCTTAACATATTATTTGTATTCATTTACATTTGAAAATGGCAAAACACTTTCATACTACTTTACTTTAAACTTAAATATTTCAAAATAAAGATTGATCAAATAAAATGATTTTGTTAAAAATTTTCATAACAAGATTAAGGTGGCTCGAGTGTCTTCCTCCATCCTGGATTTTGAAGAAGCAGATAACAGTTGGTCTAGATCTTTAATGAAATATGCAAATTTTGAGAGTAGTATGTAATTCATGTGTAAGACTTTTGATGTAAATATAGAAAAATATGTATTTTATCATATTTATAGAAAAATATGTATTTTATCATATTTACAGCTGTAATTTCTAAAACAACACCATATTTGTGTTTGATTCATTTTTTTTCAACTTTGCCAAATAAGGGGAGATAACTCAGATAAAGTAATTTTACAATAGAAAGTGTTGTGAATTTACCTATTTTAATATGTAGCAAGAAAACAAGTTCGGTGACCCCATTTCTTCGTTTGCTTATCTGAAAGCATGTTATAAGAGCTACGGTATCTTCTCACATTTTATCTTAAAATTCTACCATGTAGTTTTCTTTTTTATCACACAAAATTGGATTTTCCATGCATAATCTATACAAAATCTGACAATTATGCACAACCTGTAGCATGAAAAAAAGTCTGGTGACCCATACTTTTTATTATATTTTTGAAAAAAGCATGATAAAAACTTCATTTTGACAAATTATTTAAAAATTCTATGGATTTTAATTAAGACGCCCCAGCCATCTTAATCCAATATTATAATTTTGTCAGACACAATCAGAGAAGGCACAGATCAGAATGAAGATGGCTCTAAAGGCAGCAGGTATATTATAATGTTTATTGTTTTGTACTGTTAGAATAAAATGACAAAATTTTCTTATTGTGTACTTTACCTACATCTGCAAATATTGAATATGAATATAATAGAGTATAAATTGTGAATAATACAGTTTGTAAAATCTGTGTAAGATGGCTGCCTTTGAGTCTTACAATTTTTGCTGGTTTAGACCGTAATCCAAAGTACTCAGGTATCCAATTTTTCAGCACTTGCTGAAGTTACATTTGGATTGACATGTGTTTTTGGTGTCTCATTTGGGTCAATACTCCTAATGCGCCTTAAATTGAGGAACTCAAAAATAGTGTGTAAACAAAAAAATCTCTGTGAAGTGATATTGGACATGTTTCAATTTTTAACAAGTGACTGAGCTTAGCCATTTTTGCTGATTTGAAGAGCAGAGGACCATAGAAAAAGGTGTTTAAAACTATGGAGTTATTAAATGTATGCAAAGAATTTATTAGGTGAAAATAGGGATTTTTTTACCTTGAGAAGCCATATCACAAAGGCTTTTGGTGGTATGCTTAATTACGGGAAAATGAATCTCACTTTCTACCCTGAAAATTTAACCATGTATGTGAAAATGTCTCAACTTGGAAATGAGCCATCCTTTTTTACAATCCTTTTTATATATTAAAGGATCACAGAAAATTATTACAAATAATTGGACAACAGACCACAAAACTGATAAATCAGACTCCTCCAAAGAAATAAATGTACAAACATAGACATACAACAAATGTTCCAGATGTACAGGCACAAAATGGGGTGAGGCTTTACCAGTTTTATGTGCATCCCCCTTTTTACCTATCTTTATATCAGGTAAACTATATTTGGTGTATAAAATCATTGTAAGGTGATCAAATCTTCTAACAGAGGTCACCTGACCTTGATATAAAATAAAGATGTGGTATGATTGCCAATGAGACAACTCTATAACAGAGACCAAATAACATAGAAGTTAACAACTATAGGTCACCATACAACCTTCAACAATGAGCAAAACCCATACCGCATAGTAAGATATAAAAGGCCCTGAAATGAAAAATGTAAAACAATACAAACGAGAAAACTAACGAACTGATTTATGTACAAAATAATAAACTTAAAACAATTATGAGATATAGAAACAAACGACAACCACTGAAATACAGATTGGGGAATGGTCAAATATGTCTAACCTGGGACAGTGGTGCATCAGTATTACATAAGAACAAACTATAAAAATCAGTTGAAAAGGGCTGAACTCATCAGAACGATACAAAGCACATAAACATCCTTACAAAAACACAAAAAACAGAAAGTACAGATCTGAGAGTACTCACAGTTACTAAAACCTAGTTCAAAGTCAATAACAACTAATCAAAAATTCATGTGTCTTAGACTAAAATTTATATCAGTACACATCCAAAATCCAATGAATTAGTGTAAAATGTCATCAACAGTCAGGGATAACAAAATGAAAATGTATACCCATAAAAACAATATTTAAAGATCTAATTACAGTGTTGCATGTGTTGAATTGGTTACCTTTTAGAATAAGTTTATTTAAAGGATTGATAAGTTAACTGAGATCCTATCTAAATTTACTGGCTCGGTAAAACAACAACACTGTAAAAATAAGGATGTGCTATCCCGTTTGTAATAACATTTGTACAGGTACAGCCAAACTTCTAAAACTATCTATGGGAGAATTTAGTAAAGTTTTAAGTAATTTGTGGTAACTCAATAAATTACCAGTTATACATAGATTACATTCATAAAAATCCAAAACATCACTACAGACACGGGTATAGCAAACAAGTTTGATATATAAACACCTTAAGATGGTGCCAAAGGAACATCTTCTGTGAATAGTTTCAATGAATACTAAAACATTGACCATGGATGTTCTTTAGATATCAGCAGTCAATACCTCAATATTAGACAAAATGTAAAAATAAGAAGATGTGATATGATTGCAAATGAGACCTCTATCTACCAGAGACTTAATGATGTTGAAATTAGCAACTATCGGTCACCATACAGCCTTCAACAATGAGCAAAACCCACTGCAAAAAAAAAAATGAGTTTATTATGATGATACATTTTATTTTTGAAAAATGCTTGGATGTTTATATTAATATTTAGAAAACATAATTTAAGATATTTTAGATCATGCCAGTTTTATTATTAAATGTCTCTTTTTCTAGTTTTTATAGAATTTTGGACTCAGTAATAAATTATTTTGATAAAACAATCAAATTAAGGTTGATATGAACCAAGTCACATAACTGAAAATTGATGATTGATTGATTGTTGGTTGCTTAACATCCAGTGGCAAATATTTCATGTATGTTCAGTATGAGAACAAAATAACAGTAAATACAATAGGTATATACTGTGATAAAGGTAGTCCGGGGTGAAGGTCAGGGAGATTTTGACTGACCCTGGAAAATGAGGGTACCAGGTATATTGGATAGGGACAGAAATTTTACCATGCAACAGGCCATTTACAGACCCCTCTAAGAGTTGTTTGACTGTTATAGATAACGTGCCCCACTTTGGCAAGGTTTTTACTGCTGGTTGGAAGACAACCAAAGTGACCATATTTCTATTACCCAGTCACCCTTGGGGTTTACTGAAAATTTAATATTTATTTTAACAGCCGCAGCAGATGAAAAGATTAAAAACCAGTCTAAGTCAGAAACCAAATCATTTGAGGATCAAGTGAAGTTCAGACAGTCTGTTATGGATATAGATAATACATCATTTGTACAGTCATCATTTGTCTCTAATAGAGGGGTATGTATAACAATGTTTGACTGTTATAAATATAGATACCGTATAGCGAGTTATTTTCGCGGGTGTAAAATTTCACGATTTAGGGGCAACAAAGTATACGAAAAATTTTGGCGGTTTTTGTTTTTGCAGATTCTTTAATCGCAATTAAATATTTTGCCGGATACTGAAATGGTGCAGTTAAAAAGTTGTAAAAATTGACAAACAAGGGTCTATGGTTAAATGATTGTTTTACCTGTATGACGTCTTATTTACTGATTATATTTTGATACAGTTAATCAATAGAATACCGGTACATAGTTATTTGTCACAGGTGTACAAACTTCTTGTTAATGTTACGGTTGATAGTAACAAAATTTACCGGACCTTTGATGTACTAATTAGATTATAAAATTGTCATGAGTGATTTGCAACTCTTATATAATTTGACACTAATTGATAAGGATAAAATACCTGACAGCGTACCTTACACTCTTATATTATTATTTATTTTATTATGTAACCAATAAACTAATTAACACCTGACAGCTAGTGAAAAATGGCCTTTGGCATTTATGTTGTTTAAATTAACATTAACCGTTATTGATCCGTCGAACAGGAAAGAATAGATAGTGTACAAAACGTATTAGCTATTAGAAAGTATCGAACGTATGCATAAATGTTCGCGGAATTTATTTTCGCGATTTCCCCCGACCTGCCAAAATAAGCGAAAATAAACACCCCGCGAAAATAACCCGCTATACGGTAGTACATCATTTGTACAGTCATCATTTGTCTCTAATAGAGGGGTATGTATACCAATGTTTGACTGTTATAGATATAGATAGTACATCATTTGTACAGTCATCATTTGCCTCTATTAGAGGGGTATGTATAACAATGTTTGACTGTTATAGATATAGACAATACATCATTTGTACAGTCATCATTTATCTCTAATAGAGGGGTATGTATAACAATGTTTGACTGTTATAAATATAGATAATACATCATTTGTACAGTCATCATTTGTCTCTAATAGAGGGGTATGTATACCAATGTTTGACTGTTATAGATATAGACAATACATCATTTGTACAGTCATCATTTGTCTCTAATAGAGGGGTATGTATACCAATGTTTGACTGTTATAAATATAGATAGGACATCATTTGTACAGTCATCATTTGTCTCTAATAGAGGGGTATGTATAACAATGTTTGACTGTTATAAATATAGATAGTACATCATTTGTACAGTCATCATTTGTCTCTAATAGAGGGGTATGTATAACAATGTTTGACTGTTATAGATATAGACACTACATCATTTGTACAGTCATCATTTGTCTCTAATAGAGGGGTATGTATAACAATGTTTGACTGTTATAAATATAGATAATACATCAATTGTACAGTCATCATTTGTCTCTAATAGAGGGGTATGTCTAACTTTACTTTGCCTCAAGCAAATATTATGAAACTTATATACAATGCTTATAACTACCAAACACAGATAAGTTTGAATTTTGGTGGTGTCACTGTCACCATTCTTGAGTTTTGTCCTTTTATAAATGGAAAAATTGCTGAATTTGCCGTTTCTGTGCTCCAACTTTACTTTGCCTCAACCAAATGTTATGAAACTTATTCAAAATGCTATTACCACCAAATGCAGATCAAGTTAGAATTGGGCGGTGTCACTTTTAGCATTCTCAAGTTATGTTCCTTTATTAATGGAAAATTGTTGAATTTGTCATATATTAACAAGCAGGGTCATCTGTATCCCATGGACATTATTTTCTTTTTTTCCCATGCTTGCATCTTTATGTTGCATACATACAGTTATCTATAATAAATGCTTTTTTCCAGTAAAGTTAATCTTGATTTGAAGTTTCTGATAAATTGACTAAATTTTTGTGATAATTTTACTATGCTTGTTCTTTGTTTATTTTTTCATTATTAAGTATTCAAGACAAGACTTTGTCATACTATGCCTGTGTTGATCCAAATAATGATTAAATTTAGGATCCAAAGTCACATAATGAAGGTCACAGCTGATGAATATATTAAAATGGTTTCTTGGATGGAGAGTTGTCTCATTGGCACTCATACCACATCTTCTAATATTTATATATAGACTATCTTTGTGCAGCTTGTGCTTGGATCTATTTAAAGCAACAGTGATTTGTGTGTGCAACACAAGACAGTATAACAGGGCAACCTGGAATATTCAGAAGGTCACACAATAAATGTATTTAATACTTTTGCAGGTTATTTATTTGTACTGATTTGTTTAATTTCAGTTCACACAATTACTCCTTACTGGTAGATGTCTTTCATGTATTTAACTTCAATATGTTAGGATGTATAAGTCCAAATGGACAGCTATCTTTTAACTGCTGTTTCATTATTAGGGCATTTAATATTGTTATTTAGTATAATTTATCTGTCTGTATTTTTTATCCCAGGACAAATCAGACAAGGAGTCAGATAAAAAAGAAGAATTTTTATTTGGTACTGCAGCAGAATTTAAACCAGATTTGGTTCCAAAGAAAATACCTACATTTGATGATCCTAAATCGCTAGCAGATCCTAGTGTAAGTCACAACTGTTTGCTGTGGTTACAAATCATTTTATTATCAAAAACTCAGTTCAATGTGTTATATTATTCCTATCCTTTTTGGCTCGAATGGCCAAGTGAGCTATTCTCATCACTTGGCATCCGTCGTCTGTCATCGTTTGTTAACTTTTACAAAAATCTCCTCCCCAGAAGGTACTGGGTCAATTGAAACCAAATTTGGCCAAAATCATCCTTGGGGAATCTAGTTTCAAAGTGTGTCTGATCATTCTGATGATCCAAACTGCCAAAGAACATGGCTGACATTGCTAGTAATAGAAGATAGGAGTTAAAATTAATGCAAGTTTTTTTATTATCTTGAAAACCACTATAGATAGAGAAAATCTGACAGGGCTAAAAATTGCAAAATGTTGAGATCTTCAGACTACTTCTTATAGCAGTAATTGCCCTTAAATGTCTAATATTTCCATTTTTTTTTTAATTTTGCTTAGTTCAAGTGTTACATGGCCTAAATTGTCAAACATTTTCTTTGAGAAGTGATGTCCCTTAAATGACGATTTTTACCATTTTTTTTTCATTTTTGCCTATTATCGTGAAAATAATAATAGATACAAACTTAAAAGTGTAAAAATGAACAGCAAGACAAAATCTAAAAATAATTCAACATGGCTGAAATTGTCATCCTTATTGGAGTTATTGCCATTCAATAAAATGTTGCATTTTAGAGGAAAATATAAATGACATATTATTTATCATTCAATTTACTTTGCTTTTCTAATGTCAGCCTTTAATTTTGCAGTTATTTATTGACCCAGCAGTAAAGATGGAGAGATGGATCGATAGATTGAATACATTGAGGAAGAAAAAATTGGAAGGAGAAATGATCACCTGATATTTCTTGATATTTAAGGAGTATATTGGATACTTATCAGTACCCATAGAGACAGTTATTACCAATGGATGGAAATGACTATTATAAATCATGAAAATAGAAATATGTTATGTGCGGAATATAATATTGTTCTAAAACAGTTTAATACAAACAGTTTATAAACTTTGTATACATACTGAACAATTAAATGAACACATGTTAATATTAAATATGAGGAAATTCCAGGAAAATTAAAGCATATTATATGTAAAATTGTTTTATATTTCCAGTAATTAATAGTTGCATCTTGTATGTTAAATATGTTCCCTGTGTCTGTGATCCTTATGGTCTCTGAGAATAGTCCTTATTTTCTAAAATTCAGGGGTTGGTTCAAATATAAATCTGGTCTTAGATGTGTGATTGTGGACATGCTTTTTGTTTTCTGCATGTTGGATGCATGAAGAAATATTAGTTTCCAACATATATTTATTTTCCTGTACTTCCACTAATTGATCAAGGCAAATAGTTTAATCCATCCCCAATGTTCTATTTTGTGTTTAATCCATCCTCAATGTTCTGTTTTGTGTATTTATTCCATCCCCCGTGCTCTGTTATGTGATATAACAGTTGTCTACACTTTTTGTTGTACTCCATTGTTGTAAAGATTTTGGTTTATAGTTATATAATGATGAGTGATTCATCTTGTTTTATTTCATTCTGATTGATTTATTTTTGAGTGAATAACAGCATCATAAAGAAGTTAATGTGAAGTCCTTTTAAATAATGAATTGAAACTAATTCTGCATAAACTTTCAAAGTTTAACAATCAAAGTGATGCTTATTCCTCTTGCCAATCACAGTGCCACTTTTTCCTCTTAAAAAAAGTGAAGCTAATCTTTTATACTACACGAGGAGACTTTTTTTTGTAGGTTGCTTCTCAAACCACCAAATTAAAATTAATCAGTATGACCTTGGTATCACCTTGGATCCTAAAGCTAGAAGTGCAGTTTGTTTTCCTCGATTTTCATTATAATCCACTGGAATATCTGGGGAGAAGAATAATCTCCAAATGGCCTACCCTACATTTGATTTGGTTTATGCCAGTACTTCTATTTGCTCATGTTAGCATATGTTCAGTCAACAAGAGTGAACACCCTGAAATGTCTCGCCTGCTTTACTTATCATGATTGAATGTATGTTGAAAGTCTGTAATAAGAAGGTTTTAAAACAAGTATCAAATAAACTTAACATCATCAATGATCCATGTTAATGAGGTCAAGGTATTTGGAACCCTGCCAGACAGACAGTACAGTCATACCATACATCAAATATAGTTAGCCAATTGCTTATAGCATCAGATTAACAGACTTAATTACGAAAACTGAACACCGACTAATGAATCATAAAAATGAGGTCGTTCTGATTAACCCTGCCAGACAACATGTAGACCATGTAATCATTCCATACACCAAATATAGTTGACCAAATGCTTACAATATCTGAGGTTCAGACATAACCATGAAAAATTAACATTGACCAATGAACCATTGAAATGAGGTCAAGAGCAGATGAACCCTGTCAGACAGTTATGTACACCTTCCAATCATTCCATAAACCAAATATAGTGGCCCTATTTTTAATAGTATCTGAGAAATAGACCAAATTTCAAAAACTTAACATTTTCTCCAATGAACCATGAAAAAATGTCAAGGTCAGATGAACATGTACACCTTACATACCATACACCAAATACAGCTCATCTATTACTTATAGTATCTAAGAAACCGGACAATCCACAAAAAATAAATGATAAGGGAGCATAATATATAACAAAAATACTAAAAAAATTGTCAAGCAGTCACTGAACCATAAAAATGAGGTAAAGGACAAAAAACATATGACAGACGGAAACTTAGAGACAAAAGGCATTAGGATACAAGTTATGAAGCATTCAGATCTTCTACCTTCTGAAAACTAAAATTTATGCTGTTGCTGCCACCAGATAGTAATCCCTATGTCTCAAATTATGGGACTTATGTGGCAGGTGAGACAAAAACCAACAAGATATATAAACTCTAACACACCAACACAAAGATAATTAACAAGACCATTAAATCCAAATTGATGGTGGCAATTCTTCAAACACAACTCTATTATTCCTATTCTAATGCATTACTGTTTTAAATATTCTGGAAACGTCAACTAGTTGCTCCATGTAAACATACAATGAAATTGATGGCAGACATCCAAAAACAAATGGTGTTATATATGTCACATTATTATTAGTTGTTGACAAAGAAATTATGAGCATGACAAGGTTTAAGATAAACAATAATTTTATTAATAATGTCACTGAAATCTGTTCTGTCTTCTTTGCCTTAAATCATCCAAGTCTGGATACAGTCTGTTGGTGTTTCCTGTAAAATATATACCGGTATATAAAATTAATTTTTAAATACCAACATCAGCAATACTTCACAATCTTTGTAATTGAAAATGTTACTTTAAACCATTAAACTTTTAAAAGTTACATAATTGTAAAAGAACACACTTTAAATTCAAAGTGTAAAATTACTTTTATCTACAAAGAAGTCAAATGTCTGTAAGGGAGATAATCCTGCATATATTATAGCACTTGCAAGGTCATTTGTGTACATACAAATATTTTTTTCTTTCAAATGAAAAAGATTTTGTTTATTGAAGTATTAATCTAAGTCAAACAATTGACTCCTTACCATTAATTTAAATATACTATTTCATTACTTTTACGAAAATATGACAATGTTTCAATGAATGCAAAAGGATTTATAAATTCTCTCAAGTTTTTGGTAGTAATTTCACAAAACAAAATTTGTGAGAAGCCAATTAATTAGCATTCAATCAATTTTGTTTTTGTCAGATATCAACATTTTTACAAATGATTAAACTATCATTACCAATTCAAATCAGTATAAATGTATTATACATTGCTTAAATAAACATAGCATTATTTACATAATGTGCTTTAGTATTTATTTTCAAGCTCTCTAAAATCAAGTATAACACCAGCCAGCTTCTCACTAAATGTTTTAATATAAAAATATAATAGTTTCAAATATCCCTCAATTATCAGCAACTTTAGGAAGCAAAAACATTAATGAAACACCAACCCAACAAAACAATCAAATCACTTAAAAAGACGTCTAAAGATCAAAATATGATCAGTATGATTTTGGTGTGTTTTTCAATGGTCATAATGCTGATAAAAATGCCAGAATGAGGATAAATTATACATCAATTAAATAATAAAACAAACTTCTGTTCTCTTCATCTCTTAAGCTTTCTTCTCTAGCTCTTTGAACTTGTTCCTCTTCACTCAGACCTGCCGTATATCTGGTTTCCTGTTGACTGGTACTACGAGTGTTGTAGCCTCTGTTAGATTCTGAAATATGCAAATTACAGTACTATTTTGAAACTCATCTTTCAGTTTGTATTTTGTATTATTCATCAACTTTTAAAGAAATGGAGAGTATGTAGTTTTAAAAAATATATATAAAGTGTTTTTTTTTTGTTTTTTTTTTAATCCTGAAAATATCACAAAATATTTTGAAACATCCACACAAATGAAAACTTTAAACTTAATTTTTTGGGTCAAATTTGCAACCAGATATAATTGAAACATTGTTTAGTCTTAGCTTAAACTGTACTTTGTAAATCCTTGCAGTTGACATTATAATGTGAAATATAATCAATATATCATAAATCAAGAATTATATATCAAGAATTTGATAAGTGCATTAATTGTATAAATATAATGAAATGTTGGATAGATGTCACTGAGATGAAAAAAAAATATCCAAAATGAGGTTAATATAAATTCATGTCAGACGACTAGTGAATACATTTTAGAATGACTTGAAATATCAACCATCAACATCTTTATTTGGCAGAGGCACAGTTCTTGTTCACTGAAGTCGAATACATCACTACAGATATGTGTACTGTGTATGTGACATATACACTACAAGAAGGGGTTTAAGAAACATCAGCCCCCATCAACAAAAGGGACTGAATAATTGTCTCTCTTCACAAACAACAGTAGAGTTTTCCCTGCCAAACAGAATTGTCAACATCTAGAAAAGCACAATTATTTTTGTTCACAGCAGATCTTCCTGAGGTCAATTCACTGGGGTAAAATGTCCCCTTCAGAGAAAGGTAACTGATCTAAGACTGAAATATTTAATGATCTTGTATTTAAGTATTACATGTAGCATGTTTGTTGAATCCTTGATAATATATCCACTTTTCACCTTTGGCAGGGTTTAACGTGTACCTGTAATTGATAACTCAATCACTATAATATCCTGCTTCTAGAAAAGTTTCAAGTCCTTTTGATGTTTGCAAATTGAGTTTTACTGTATTTGACATTGTTTTACTTTAGATAGTCTGTTAACTCATATAATGATATATCAGCCTGCATTTTAAAATTTTACTTTCTTCAATGGAAAAATAATATACTCATATGAGTGAATCTTTTCAGTGCAATACTTAACCCTGCAATGATGTACATTGCTATTGCTTACAAAAGATTTTCTAATATGTAAACGAATTTAATACCTGCATAACCTGTTCTGTAACCTGCTGACTGTCTCTGATAGGTGTAAGATGGAGCTTAAATAAAAAGTTATTTCATATTAGTTTGTACTTTTAAATATTAAACATGATTGAGAGTAGTCACATAATTATTTTTCAAAGGTATAATGACTATTATAGTTTATATAGAAACCCATTATTGAATATATATAAATTTCCTTATTCTGTCTGTATCATGACATTGATTGTCAAACTAGTGATGAAAAAATGTACTGCAATTATTGAATTACATGTATTGAAATTTTTGCAAATTTTGCATGATACAAATACCATTTAGCATCACTTTAAAACATGGTCACCAAATAATAGAAATTTACATTTACTTTGGACACTTATGTAACATGCAGTTCTCTCACTACAGAAAAATAAAGATATTTCATATATTCATGATGGCTAAAATCTTATTATAATATTCTTTCAAAATAGCTACTTCGAGCTTCCATAACAAGATATTATTACATATTAGTTTATACAACTTGTAATTATTAAACATGATAAAAAGTTGTCATGAAACAATCTTTATTCTAAAGTATTATAACTATCAGTTAATATAGAAATGCATAACTGACCAAATATCCTATCCAAATGATCTGACCTACCTGGAGCAATAACAATGTCCATTTATGGTTTAAGTGGACCATTGATGTACAAATGTATAGTATACCCACTAATATCCCAGCCAAATGACCTGACCTACCTGGAGCAATAACACTGTCCATTAATGGTTTAAGTGGACCTTTGATGTATAGATAGTATACCCACTAATATTCCAGCCAAATGACCTGACCTACCTGGAGAAATAACACTGTCCATCAATGGTTTAAGTGGACCTTTGATGTATAGTATACCCACTAATATCCCAGCCAAATGACCTGACCTACCTGGAGCAATAACACTGTCCATTAATAGTTTAAGTGGACCTTTGATGTATAGTATACCCACTAATATCCCAGCCAAATGACCTGACCTACCTGGAGCAATAACACTGTCCATTAATGGTTTAAGTGGACCTTTGATGTATAGTATACCCACTAATATCCCAGCCAAATGACCTGACCTACCTGGAGCAATAACACTGTCCATTAATGGTTTAAGTGGACCTTTGATGTATAGTATACCCACTAATATCCCAGCCAAATGACCTGACCTACCTGGAGCAATAACACTGTCCATTAATGGTTTAAGTGGACCTTTGATGTATAGTATACCCACTAATATCCCAGCCAAATGACCTGACCTACCTGGAGAAATAACACTGTCCACCAATGGTTTAAGTGGACCTTTGATGTATAGTATACCCACTAATATCCCAGCCAAATGACCTGACCTACCTGGAGCAATAACACTGTCCATTAATGGTTTAAGTGGACCTTTGATGTATAGTATACCCACTAATATCCCAGCCAAATGACCTGACCTACCTGGAGCAATAACACTGTCCATTAATGGTTTAAGTGGACCTTTGATGTATAGTATACACACTAATATTCCAGCCAAATGACCTGACCTACCTGGAGCAATAACACTGTCCATTAATGGTTTAAGTGGACCTTTGATGTATAGTATACCCACAAATATTCCAGCTAAATGACCTGACCTACCTGGAGCAATAACACTGTCCATTAATGGTTTAAGTGGACCTTTGATGTATACTATACCCACTAATATCCCAGCCAAATGACCTGACCTACCTGGAGCAATAACACTGTCCATTAATGGTTTAAGAGGAACATTGATGTAAAGTATACCCACTAATATCCCAGCCAAATGACCTGACCTACCTGGAGCAATAACACTGTCCATTAATGGTTTAAGTGGACCTTTGAAGTATAGTATACCCACTAATATCCCAGCCAAATGACCTGACCTACCTGGAGCAATAACACTGTCCATCAATGGTTTAAGTGGACCTTTGATGTATAGTATACCCACTAATATCCCAGCCAAATGACCTGACCTACCTGGAGCAATAACACTGTCCATCAATGGTTTAAGTGGACCTTTGATGTATAGTATACCCACTAATATCCCAGCCAAATGACCTGACCTATCTGGAGCAATAACACTGTCCATTAATGGTTTAAGTGGACCTTTGATGTATAGTATACCCACTAATATCCCAGCCAAATGACCTGACCTACCTGGAGCAATAACACTGTCCATTAATGGTTTATGTGGACCTTTGATGTATAGTATACCCACTAATATCCCAGCCAAATGACCTGACCTACCTGGAGCAATAACACTGTCCATTAATGGTTTAAGTGGACCTTTGATGTATAGTATACCCACTAATATCCCAGCCAAATGACCTGACCTACCTGGAGCAATAACACTGTCCATTAATGGTTTAAGTGGACCTTTGGTGTATAGTATACCCACTAATATCCCAGCCAAATGACCTGACCTACCTGGAGCAATAACACTGTCCATTAATGGTTTAAGTGGACCTTTGATGTATAGTATACCCACTAATATCCCAGCCAAATGACCTGACCTACCTGGAGCAATAACACTGTCCATTAATGGTTTAAGTGGACCTTTGATGTATAGTATACCCACTAATATCCCAGCCAAATGACCTGACCTACCTGGAGCAATAACACTGTCCATTAATAGTTTAAGTGGACCTTTAATGTATAGTATACCCACTAATATCCCAGCCAAATGACCTGACCTACCTGGAGCAATAACACTGTCCATTAATGGTTTAAGTGGACCTTTGATGTATAGTATACCCACTAATATCCCAGCCAAATGACCTGACCTACCTGGAGCAATAACACTGTCAATTAATGGTTTAAGTGGACCTTTGATGTATAGTATACCCACTAATATCCCAGCCAAATGACCTGACCTACCTGGAGCAATAACACTGTCCATTAATGGTTTAAGTGGACCTTTGATGTATAGTATACCCACTAATATCCCAGCCAAATGACCTGAAAGGTAAAAAACAGAAAATTATCATATAACAAATGTAAATGAACCTGTAAATCTCTAAAACCCAAAAATTTATCTTCTAATGATTCTAACAAGAGTGCACAAGCTGAAAAGTCTCGACTGCTTTGCTAACTATTCTTGATTTTATGTTGATAGTCGTAAAGATAAATAAAATTGAGAATGGGGAATGTGTCAAAGAGACAACAACCCGACCAAAGAGCAGAAAACAGCTGAAGGCCACCAATTGATCTTCAACACAGTGAGATAATCCCGCACCTGGAGGCTTGCTTCAGCTGGCCCCTAAACAAAAATGTGTACTAGTTCAATGAAAATGGACGTCACACTAAACTCCAAAACATATAAATGAACTAAAATTAAAAAACATACAAGACTAACAAAGGCCAAAGGCTCCTGACTTGGGACAGGCGCAAAAATGCGGCGGTGTTAAACATGTTTTGTGAGATCTCAACCCTCCCCCTATACCTCTAGCCAATGTAGAATAAACAAACACACAGCAATACGCACAGTAAAACTCAGTTTAAAAGAAGTCCTAGTCCGATGTCAGAATAGGTAAAAAAAGAAACTAAGCAAAATGACAATGATACATAAATTAACAAAGGACTACTAGCAGTTACTGACATGCCAGCTGCAGACCTCAATTTAACTGATTGAAAGATTATGTCTTCATCATATGAAAATCAAGCACAATCCCTCCTGTTAGGGGTTTAGTATCATACCATCATAAAATATATGAGAAGAACATAACCCGTATCATGCCAACAACTGGTTTTAGGATAAATGTGTTTATTTCCGATGCAAAGACCCTATGAGTGAATCAATATTAATACCAGAATATGCCATCTTTAATGATCTGACAACAGTATCATAACTATATCCCTTCTGAATAAGTCTGTTTAAAGGTTTGGTTAGCTTTTGAGGTGAATGTCAACATGTTTGTGCTTTGTATAGAATATTACCATAAAAGATTGGATGTGAAATACCTGAACGTATAAGATGTCTGCATGTTGATTTCTATTTATGAATAATGTCCTTGTACCATTGATAAAATTTAGTAAATGTTTTGACTAGTTTGTGATATCGAAAACCCTGGTGTAATAATTTTTCAGTAAAACAGAGGTTTCTTTCGTTAAAATCAAATACGGTGTTACATACACGAGTGAATCGAACAAGTTGAGATATATAAATACCATAAGATGGTGACAAGGGAACTTCACCATCTAAAAATGGATAATAAATAATAGGAAATGAAAAATCATCTCTTTCATCATAAATTTTGGTATTAAGCTTCCCGTTAAAGATATAGATATCAAGATCCAGGAAAGGGCAGTGTTCATTGTTAGTATTAGCTTTATTTAAAGTCAGTTCAGCAGGATAAATCTCTTTAGTGTACATACTGAAGTCGTCATTATTGAGAGCCAATATCTAAAAGTGTTATTAAATTTTTGTATCAGATGTTGTTTCGATGGGTCTTTGCTGATTTTAGTCATAAATTGTAACTCATAACAATACAGAAACAAGTCGGCAATAAGTGGTGCACAGTAAGTCCCCATTGGAATTCCGATAACTTGGCGATATACGGAATCTCCATAGCGAACAAAAATGTTATCTAGTAAAAATTCAAGGGCAGTTATTGCATGTACAACATAAACCTAACATTATCAATGATCCATGAAAATGAAGTCAAGGTCAGATAAACCAAGCCAGACAGACATGTACTACTTACAACCATTTCATACACCAAATATACGAACTTAACATTGACCAATCAACCGTGAAAATGAGATCTGCCAGACTGACTTTAATACAATCATTGTATATACCAAATAAAGTTGACCTACTGCTTATAGTATTAGGGTGTTTGTATATACACTGATGTACATTGACCAATCTTTTAAGCCTAAATGAATGTGAACCTAGCTAAGCGAAAAAAAATTGAAAAGGGTAGGAACTACTACTGGAATCAAACAATATTTCTTAAGAAAAGGCAAATTCTCAAACACTTGCTTCTAATTTCCAGAGTACTTTAAACAAAAAAAGATCATTTACATTTTATCCATGTACTCTATTTTTAGTAGTGTTGTTAAACGGTTAATCGGTTAACCATCGGAAGGACCGAATATTGAATACCAAAAACGCTAACAAGTTAACCGGCCCTTTTTTCAATTTTAATAGATTTGATATAAATGTGTATTGAAATTATTAATTCATTTTTAAAATGACAGTCTTGCTTATCAATTTGACAGATCAATTGTACAGTTTATTGATTACTATAGTTAACCTTGAAAAACACTCCTAATTTTACAAATTTTAAAATTAACACAAAAACAACTTGTCTATCAGCTCTGGGCAATATTTAAAGTAAACATAATTAGCTTACATGTGTTTTGAACAGTTGTAAGCTGATTACATTTTACGATTGACTTTATTATTTTTCTTTGATTTAATATTGCGTATACCTACATGTAAATATGCCACTTCTATCTTCTAAGGCGTTGTCCTACTTTAAACGAAATGCCGACTCAAAAATGGTAAAATGCAAATTATGTGAATGGAATTAATGTATAATACTGTGTGGTACGAGTAACACGCTTAATCATCTCAAATTGAAACACTATACAGAATTTTCTGAGACATCAGAGAAATTGAAACAATCACCGGTTATAGACTTTGTCAATTTGCGGAGATCAAGACTAATTTCATCTTCTCCATCTGATGTTATTACAAATACCGTAGTAGATATGGTAGTATTGGATTATTAAAGATATAACATTGCCAGGACTGCTCAAAGCCAAGCCTTATAATGTCCAAGCATAAACCTCAATTCATCTCATTATAAAACCGTGGATTTGTAGAATACTGGAGACCTTTAAAACATCAACCTAAGTACCGGTTATACAGTTAATCGGTCGAAAGATTTCCAGAGTAACCGGTTATTCAAAACTTTTCAATTTGACAACACTAATCTTTAGTGATGTTTTGGTGGAAAGGTGTGTAATATCTTACCTGTAAATGAAACATGAGGTGTAATAAGTTGTATTATAACAAGTTCTGCCCAGAAAGCTATCTTGCTTGGTACTGGTATAAATCCTAAGATGTACTGAGTTCCTGCTGGAGTATAGTGACTCACTAACACCTTCAATGCAAATATCACACCTACAATTAACTAAAGGTATTAATAAATATCATAAGTAAATGTACTAAGAAAAATCTTTAAATAGGAAAATGATTGCCCTATCTCTTAAACCAAGAATATTCACCTCCCCCTTCTTATTTAGTTTATATACATGCTGACTCTAGTTGCTGAAATCCTAATCCTTAAAGGTCCCTTTGCAATTAGATATGATTAAGTGTTTAATGTTTTAAGTTCTTATATGATTTGCATATCTACAAATACTTGAATGCGATTGGTCCGTTAGAATATATTTATCCTTGGTTTACACTTCGATAGACACTGTATCCCAAGCTACCCTAGTAGCCTACTTAAACACAATCTTCAGTTTACTGTGATATATTCATAATGGAATCCTGGGGTTCCACGAAAGTTGAAATCAAAGGAAAACATAGCAAATGCTTTTTGTTTTGAGAATTACACTGGAAGGATTAAACACATATTTTTCTTTATAGAAGATGATGTTAAAACTATGAGTTAGTTGGTCCAAGTTTACACATCAATAATCTTGTGTTTAATCCTACTAGTTTAATGTTTTGTCATTAATCACATTTACATTTTGTAAAACTGAAGAAACTAGATATCATTGAGATTGGAGCCATCTCTGTGGGCCCCGCTGTGAATAATTTGTGGTAAAAAATTTGTATCTTTATCATTGGACATGGGGTTGTCAACTGAAGCCAAAGTTTTTGATCTGACCTTTGACCTAGGAAGTTGTACATAAATTATGACACACCCTCTGGTGTTGGTTTATATATATGTCAAGTATAAATTTTGAAATCATAACGGTTCTCAAGATATAGAGCGGACACGATCTTTACCATAGGACATGGGGTTGTCAACTAAAACCAAAGTTTTTGACCTTGACCTTTGACCTAGGAAGTTGCACACCCTCTGGTGTTGGTTAATATACATGTCAAGTATAAACTTTGAAATCATAACGGTTCTCTAGATATAGAGCGAACACAATTTGTTACAGACGGACAGACAGACGGACAGACAGACTGACAGACTGACCACTATAGGGCGTCCGCCATTCGGCGGGGCCCTAATGAAGTATATATATTAGGTTTTCATATAAGGTAAAGACTGTTTCTGTTAAAAAATATAGATTTGTTGATCTCTCACACCAATATTTGCCAGATATTTGTTTTCTTAAATTTCTAGTTTTTGTAAAAGACATTAATTCCTTCTGAAGTGATGTTGTGATACAATGTAGGTACCTATTATTACTCATTTGTGTTCTCAGTACACTAATCTATGGGTTATTATAATATTACACAATAAAGTTACCTGAAAATCCTACTGCACATACAAGTTCATAGGATGAATCATCAAATACTCTCTCCAGAGCCATATTAAGTCCAAGATAAGTCACACTAGTTAATACTGTAAATACTGCAAGTAAGTACAAAAAATAAACACTTCTAAATTTACGCTCCAGTACTCTCCCTTTGTAAAGGAATGACGCCATGTTGTAATATAAATGAATGTCATTGGAATGATATAATGCTGCTAAAATTAACCTTCGCCATTCTTTACGATATAAAACATGATATACACTTAGACAAACTTTGCCTGCATTAGGGAACCATTTCATCAGATCACCAAACTGTAAAAAAATGGCAGATTGTAGAATTACCGCTGCCAGCGTGACGGGTGGAATGTTATCTACTCCAATGTTCATCATCTGTGCTGCTAGGAGAAAGACACCAAGTCCTCTTCCACCAGATCTACCACCTAGATAAGGCATTCTGCTTTTGTCTATTTACCTATCTTCTTTGCTCATTTAATATTTATTTGTAACTGTAGTCTTTAAACCTGATTCACTACAATAAAAAATTTACAAAAAAGAACAAATATAGATTTATACATTACTAGTACTCATATTTGAAATATATCTCCACATAAAAAATGAAACAAGAGCACATGAATCAAGTAAATACCTTAAACAAAAACCACTTTATTGGTTTAAAGTTTTAAGTTAATTTGGTGTTGTACGAATTTTTTAGTTTCACATGTACATTTTCACTATGTGAACAGGGCTTTACATGTACATGTATGTGAATATTTACATTGTATCAAAAGTATTAAAAATATTCCTCAGCTATCTAGATATAAGAAGATGTGGTATGAGTATCTACATGTATGTATTTTTTTGGTTCCATTCCACTCAGGCAAAGATGACCATAGATGGTTGATATTGATAAAACTACTTTTGGCAAATTCGATCTCAAATATCTATAAATCCCCAGCTTTCAAATATTTAGATTTGAGTGTTTCCGTTCATTTGATTGCCATATGAGGTAAATCAAAAGCGTTTTGGATAAACCAATTTAATTTATAAAACTATTGTTCTTTTCTTTTTAATGAATCAAATGATAATAGTTTATATTCTTTCATTCTTACACTTTTCTTTTTAATGAGACAAACGATAATAATTTTATTATATTTTTTTATTCTAACATTCAGTTATTAGTTTCCTGAGTTTGATCGAAGTTTGTACATTTCTTATATAAACTAGGACACTGAAACTGGCAAGACTTAATATCCGAGCTGCTTGTAATGTGCCTATAAAATGAACAAGTGAAAAAGATTGATGAAATTGTTGTAATTCTGAAGGACATAGCAGAATGGAACTATTTTAATTGCATGAATAGTGAGCTGTATAAAAGTGCATATATCTATATGGATCTATAATTTGCAACAGGTGTCTGCAGTGGTATACCACCTGAAATGTGTTGGCCTCAAATGCCACCTAAGGCTACATACTGGATGTGCAGGAGGTACCACAAAAATAAATAGCTAAAAGGCTTCTATATATGTATACATGTAAATGTGCTTTCAATTTATCATTGCTATGTTCGATAAGGCACGGACTATTTGATTTTTGGGGGGTTTGTAAAAGAAATAATTTGGCCTCAATTTTGATAAAAAGAAATAATCTGGCCTATTGAGTCAATAAAAATAGTCTGGCTTCATCTTCAGCAAGTATGATATGTATTATAAAAATATGAAAATTGTCTTGCTTTGGATTGACTGAAAAAAAATATACTTGCTTGGTTTGCATGGTTAAAAAAAATCTGGCTTGATATAAAATCCCATATCAGAGGCCTCTGGTGCAAATAACCAGTTACAATGCCGCTCACACAAGTTACTTCTGGTATTTCTGGTATCAACTGTTTACAACAAATATCTGACACACAAAGTCATGACGGAGGGTGATCGGTTTATTGAGCAGTGAAATTGCATTGACAGAATATTCATATGGTTATACAGTAATTGACCGTAAATCGCCTTGTTTATGACGTTGTTAATGCGTTTCCGTAGAGTTTTATTCATGACGTCAATACAGAATACAGGTTCGCTGAATTTTGACATCGTCCGCTTCAAATTTAAAATGATGGTTTTTACCCCTAAATACTTCATTTGGAACAGTTGTAAGAGTTGCAGTATATAAAGAATAACCATACAGTGTCTCAAAATATAATTTTATTTGTACTCGGCTCAAAAAAGATTAATAAATGTATGTCCTTTTCAAGATCAGGCTGCCCCGGGTATCATCACTCCACCCATATCAGCCCTTGCCTAACGTCTTGTGCTGATAAGGGGGTCTAGGGATGATACCCGGGCCATATGGAAATATATATGGATATTAATCTGTACATAATAACTTTTTCATTTTTTTAATTCATTTATTTATTTTTAAAAAAAGGGGGGGGGGGTGTTTCTTTACAGAAACAAATGTCTCAGTGTTAAGTATGTATCAAAAAGGCATAACATGTAACTCTGGTGGATAGTTGTCAATATATGGTTATGTGATCTTATGAGGTATACATAGATCTCTATTTATAACATGTAATGCACATGTAAACCGGTACTAGCTGTACCTGGAATTCTTTCAATCTTGTTGACGTCAGATAAAATTTGTGTGACTTCACATTTAATGTTACATTATCTCATTCTTCACAGTTGACATCTAAAACATAATTGCAATATTATGAATTTCATAGCTCACGAAGGCAGCCATATTGTTATGCCTCAACCAATGAATGTGTAGAGCAACGTGTACTTTCGGTTTGTGTCACATCACCGATATTACTGATTATTTTTGGGGGGAAATGCTGATAAAACAACTTTTTTATTTTCTCAATCTGAAGATACATGATGGAACTACTACTTTCCTTTGGAAGAGGAGACATGAGTGAACTTTGTTAAAAATAAAATTGGAAATTTCAGTGTCTATTTTTAGAAACCTACAAGGTAAACCCTTCAACAGAGGGAAGTGCATTTCAGAACATAGAACTTGTATAGATTAATTAACAGGAATGACAATATTATTTTGTGGTAAAGCTTATTATGAAAATGGACATGCACTGTTACAAGAGATGAGATTCTTTGCCATGAAAGTAGCGGGATGATCGGATTCAAATAATCTACTTTCACTTTGTTATTACATCAGTGGAATTAAATAATTCGAAATAACAGAAAACAGGTTAAAAGTCTATGAAACTAATTGAATTAATGTATTTTGATTGATTAATATCGTTGAAAATTGTATAGTTTTGATACCAGACGGTTCACAAAGAGTTAAAATTGGCCCTATTAAGATTTTCATATTTTTTTCTATTCTGGCCAGAACACTTCAAATTTTACATAGAAACAGTTGTGATATTACTATTTGTACATACTAACTTCTTTTTTACAAATCACATTACAAATTACAAAGTTATGACTCCTTAATTATGTAATATTGGTATTCTGTATGTCCTGTATATTCAATGAAATTCTGTCAATATAGCTAGGCACACCTCCTTGCATATTGTAAATTCAGAAATTATTGTGAGGTTTTTATTAATGCCAAAACTAGGAGAGTTTAGCAATGATAAGAACTTGCATTTTCATATCTGATTGATATATGTGTATGCAAATTTTACTGAAAATCGCAATAATTAATGCATGCAATAATTTCTGAATTTACAGTAATTTAGAGTAAATGTTATTCTAAAACCACCATACTGTAGTCACTGAATTCTACCTCCAGTATAATTACAATTAAAATAATATGTACACTGTTCAGGATTTCATATAAAATATTTATTTATGTAACAGGTAAGAAGTGCCTCTAAACTATTTAAATGAAATTTACTTTCTTTATTATAATGTCAGTTTTGGTTCATTTTTCCATAATTCAAAAAAGTTTTTTTAAGAGTTTTACTTTCAGCTGCAACCCCCAATCCAGAAAATTGTGAACTTTCCTTTTCTCTGTAGCAACATGGAGTATATATCTCCAAGTTGATACAATATTCAAGAGCTTGATTTTCCTGTCATGTTTTCTTTGATAGAGTTTTCTACTTTCAAGAAACATATAAAACCAAGGGTTCCATGCGGTAAAATTGAATTCATCCCTTCAAAATTTTTATGGACACCCTCACAAGTTGGTTAACTGTTAAGGAATACCTGTTTCACAGATGTTCCAATTGTGGTAACCACAATCCTGCCCCCTTTTCCTTCCAATGGGACATCATTAAGTAAGACAGATCACCTAATTTGTACATAGATGAGCAATGTGATGATACCAGTAGCAGGATCTGCTTACCCCATCAGAGCACCTGAGATCACTCCTAGTTTTATTGGGGCTTGTGTTGCTCAGTCAATTCTATGTTGTGTTTCATATACTGTTCTTTTTCTTTTGTTTATTTCATTTTTTGCCAAAGGGTTGTCAGTTTTGTCTTTCACTTATGAGTTTAATATCCCTATTTTGTATCATCCACCTCTTATTTATAAAATTACTATACAAGTATAAAGCCATTAATAATTATAATTCTTTTATACTTTTATACCTTTAGTCTGTGTACATTAGGCATACTTATGTACAGTATAAATAGAAACAATTGTGGGGTAAAGTCAATGAAAGTTCTTCAACAACAAAAACTTATCAAATAGGCACATAGGAATCTCAAAATTGCCTTCAAGTAAGGAAAAGCTTCATATAATTTTATGAATATATCAAGCTTATCCCAATTTTAGAAATTATTTGACCTGAAAATGTACACATTTGTCTTAATCCATAGCCAAATTCCAGAAAGAAATCTGAATTTCATAAATTCCAAAATTTATCATTTATATCTGATAAAACATATATTATAAAGAAGAACAATATGTTATGAAACAATATTATTGTGGGTTAGTTGGAATTCGATCATAACATATCTTAACATTTTCCTGGAAAAAGAGGAATATTTCCTGTACAGGCTTTTGTTTCCTGTATTAATAGTAGTAATTCTTTCAATCTCTTTTTGGAATTAAATTACAAAATTTAAATAGATTTAAGAAAGATCCATAATAATATACTATCAATTTTCTACTTTTTCTTTTTAAATCAATGGAGCTTGAATTTAATATTTTGTATTGTTACTATTTCTGTAATACCGCTACATTGACAACAACACTTAAGTAAACTGCAGTTTACTTAAGTACTTAAGTGTTGTTGTCAATGTAGGGGTATTTGATTTTTTTATCTAACAACCTTGCATACCATCTGGTATCCACTTAAGGGAACTCTACCAGCACAAAACATAGGAGGCGTTGGTTCAGCAGCTCTTTATTTATTTCTGTAATAGAAATGAAATAGATTCAGGTTAAAATCAAACATAATCAGGACAAGTACATGTAGTAAAAGTTAGGGTTTATATATGCAGGGATGTTGACTTAAATATAAAGATATTTTGATTCTACCTATAATGCTTTAAGAAATGTCAATATTAGTATCTTATTGAAACCAAGGGATTTTTTTTCAATTAAATACAAGTAATGATAATAACTATAACAACTTTCAGATGAGACGAGGTGTTTTGACATTTAAGCATAAGCAATAATTCACTGTACATACAAGTTACTGTTACAATTTACAATTTTTAGCTATATGTTTGTTCCTGACATATCAAAAATATGAAAATGTGTATTAATTGATTATATTTCTTAAGAAACATCTGCATAACATGTGAAAATAATTTGAAATAAGGAAGGAAATTCATGTTTCCTTACTAGTCTTCAGTTTAGTTTTTTCTATTTCCTTGATCTAGTTGTTCATATGTTGTAAGTCTGTGATATTTATTATAAAATGGTATCTTTGTATAGAAAAGCTAACTTTCCCTATCCAGGTAAGTTTTTAAATCTAAGTTAAGTTTTAAACGGAACAAAACAATTAACATTATTTTGCAAGAAATATTAAAAACAATAAAAACTGAGAAAATTTGAGTTATCTCCCTTATCTAGAAACTGAAAAGTGAACAAAGCATGGAAATGAAAATAATTTCTACTACTATTACATGTCTTATTTGATTCCTTTTATTTTCTTTAATAATTTGTTATAATTAGCACTCTTAATAGCCTCAGCCATTGTATCACTCATAACAATTTGAGATATTTAGCATGAGAGATCACTCTTAATAGCCTTAGCCATTGTATCAGTGATAATAATTTGAGATACTTCACATGAGAGAATATTCTTAATAGCCTCAGCCATTGTATCAATGATGGTCATTGTAATGGATTTTGGTATTCAATTTTGTAAATAACTGTATTTGAAGATAGACCAATGATTGGCCTTTATTTCAATAATTTACTAACATTATTACCTTTTTAAAAAAGGAGATGTAGTGTAAACAGCAACCCAAATATTGACATGAAATAAAAAGATGTGGTATAATAGCCAATGAGACAAATATCCACTGGAGACCAAATGACATAAATGTTAGCAACAATATGTCACCATAAGCCCCATATTTCAAATAGAGTATATTTTGGTGGGTTTTCTATAACCAAACAATATAAGAATATTTTATTTTTTCCAGCAATGGACAGTTGGATAGATGAGATAAGAAATTCTGAAGTTCTGTTGATCTTTGATGACAGTGATGATTTCTACATTAAAAAATGGATTATTCCAGAACTTGAAGCCAAAAATCTAAAATTTGTGTTGCCAGAAATCCATATACCACCTGGCAGACCAAAACTAAGTTTGATGCCTGAAGCCATTGAAAATAGTAAAAAAGTATTAATTATATTGTCTGAGCACACAAAGAAAAGATTTAAATGTACTTTTGAAATTTTTCTTGCTCTAGAGAAAAGTTTAAGTACAAACAAAATGTGTGTGACGATTGCATTGCTAGGATCATTAGATAGAAGAGATGTTCCAAAAATCCCTATGTTAGAGCACAGTATGATAGCCAAAGTTACAGAAAATGACCAACCTTATACTATTGAAAAAGTTATCGAAAATATCAAAGGTGAGTTAAAAGTAATAACCAAATGTACCACTATATATGGATCTTATTACATACTATATAGAGGCAAAAAAGTAATTTTTTTATTTAAAGTTTATTAAATCAATTTAGAAGAATAATTTATATCTGTGAGTCACAATTAACATTTTTGAGGCAATCATAATATATAAAATATATCATATACCATTTCAAGCAACAAGCGAATCTCTTGAATGGGATACCACTTTAGTGGTCTCCTGGTAGTGTGCTCCCCTCCAGTGTGGGAGGTCCTCCGTTTGATTCCCAGCCTGGACAAACCAACAACTTGAAAATTGGAATTTTCTGCTTCTCTGCTAAGCACTTGGCATTAAGGACTAAGAGCAAAGACTTTGTCAGCTGGTAATCAGGATAATTATCTATGTGTCTAGGTAGGTAGAAAGGTCTTCCTTCAGATGGCTATCCCGTTGAAAATCCCGCTCAGCATGTCAGTCTTATAAAAATCATGGTTTATATTCATTTCTCTTATTCTTACCCGATTTATCCTTTTCCTGACCCGTTTATTATTTTTATTTAATCAACGTGTGGTTGGTTTGATCTCAGTTATTCATTGATCAAAATTTGATTATGACGTCAAATTTTCTTGCTTTCCTCTGAATTTCCTATTGTGATGTCATGAGAAAAGGCGACCATGCCATAATATGATATTTATCCACTCTCGACAGTTAAATTTTAAATACTTAAAACACTCGGCAAGCCTCACGTTTTAAATTTGAAAATTTAACTGTCTAGAGTGGATAAATATTGTATCACACTTGATGCAGTGGTAGAATCTATATATCACATAAAAATTGTCTTGTCCTGAATATGCATTTCATTTGCCACTTGGTTATAAACACCACCATCTTGAATGAGAACAATTGATTTATATCTATAGTATGAAGTTAATTGTGTCATTTTATCTTTGCTTATAATTATTCAAGTTTTTTTTGTACAGAATGGGTGATGATGGTTATATTACAAACAAAAAAAGGATTTTGATGTTAGTTTTGTGAATTTAGTGACAAAGAATGAAATAATTGAACAGGCTATTTCTAATTTATCTTCAAAATACAGGCTATGAAAGACAGGTTTTCTTTTACTGACTTTCCTAAGTGCTACATGTCAAATAACTGGATCCCTGTTCCAGCTACACCAGACCTTCTATATCATGGCAGATAAATCGTATTACATAATTAAAGAGTTTATGGTAGATCATAGATCTGAAACAATGAATTCTGACATTGAAGAAGTTAATTTATTCAGAATTAACCTTGTAGTAAAATAGGTTGCCTTATAAAGAGAATTTATTCAAAGTAAATATATCTCATTCCTTACATTATCATTCCAATAATAAGTAAAGATTACTTGTACATTGTGTTTAACTTGTTATATTGTGTTTAACTTGTTACATTGTGTTTAACTTGTTACATTGGGTGGTAAACAAGGTAATTGTTACATTGTACTTAATTTTCAGATGATAGTGTAACTCTGAGTGAGAAAATGCCAGCTGGCAACTTAGCAACAGGATTAGCTTGGAGTCATTTTTTAGGATATCTGAGTATAATTCTACCAGGTATTATATACTGCAGTCAATGCTTTTTTCTGGTATTGTTGATTTATATTTATAAATAAACTTGAGTAAAACATACCCCACGCTTAAAATTGACAAATATAAAAATAAGAAGATGGGTATAATTGGCAATAAGACAATTCTCCACCAGAGACCAAATGACATAGAAATTATCAACTATAGGTCACCGTACAGTCTTCAACAACGGGCAAAACCCATACCGCATAGTCAGCTATTAAAGGCCCCGAAATGACAAATGTAAAACAATTCAAATGAAAATACTAATGGCCTGATTTATGTACTAAGCAATGAACGAAAAACAAATATGATTTATAGCAACAAACAACAACCACTGAATTACAGGCTTAATTTGTCATTACAGCAAAGAAAAGTGCAATAAAGATATTTTTAGATGGAAAAAAAAAAAAAAAAAAAAGAATTACAGGCTCCTACCTTGGGACAATCATGTACAGAATGTGGCGGGTTAAACTAGTTTGTTGGTGCCAAACCTTCACTCTAACCTGTATAACATAAGAACTAACTATAAAAAAAGATTGTTTAATACTTGTACTTTGTCTATAAAACACATGTTGTTTGTTATCTTGCTGTACAACAGACTTTCAAGAAAAGTAGTAATTATAAAATAAGGTAAGATATTAATACTTAGGTGAGGGGGAGTAAACATGATTAGCTGAAGGATGGACAAGACAACTACCGAATTGAAAATGACTAAAACAACATTCAACAAAACACTACAAAAACAAATTTTGAGAAACAAAAGCAAAAAATATAAAGATAATCTTGAAGACATGATTTTAGGACAGGTAGGCAGTCTTTTTCTCTACTAGTTGCCACTAATTTGTTGTTCATGAGAAATCTAGTAAAATGCTTATTTTAGTGCATCATCATTAAAAGAAAGTATTCAGCATTTAACATTCATCTTTGTTTTTAACAGAACTTGCTACAAATATCATTGAATGTGAATGGTTTCAAAGATTTCAAGGTAAAATGTCAACGCGTTTCTTTATGCTGTTACCAAAGTCAGGAACATGTCGGCCATTACAAGACCAGGACAGCAGAATTACTCATGTTGGTAACCTTAAAATAGAAGTCCACATTGCTGGAACTAAAAGGGTGTATACTCCAAATGTGTACTGCATACAAGATGAAGAGAAACAGGTATTATTTTCATTTGATTTGCAGAAGTTTTTAAATTTTCATTTATTGACAAACAAAAGAAAGGAGTATCATTACAATAGGTCAATAATGTTATAAAAGATCTGTCAAAATTAAAATGGAATTTGTGGCACCATTTTTATCATAATATTTATATCATATTAGGTTCATAACACAAACAAACTATTTGAATTGCATTTTCAGTCAAGATGTCATTACAGGAACATATACTCTGGCTTAGATTTGGATTATGTCTGAAAAGTTTTAAAATAAATTGTGTCACAAATATACAGATCAACATGAATGTTTTTGATAATATACATTATAAGTACCTTTAGAATCTTAAGATCATATTTGTTTTTATCAGAACAATCAGAATTACAGACAAATGTGTCAATAGTATATTGGCTACATAAACGTGTTCTTTTAGAAATATATCCATAAATCTTGAATATAATTTTGTTATGTATATATACATTTAATTAAATTTAGGTATTGAAGGACATATTTAATAAATACTTAAACACTGTACTATTTATTTTGTAAATCATTGCATATTATGATTTACAAACCTTAGAGTCTGATCCAATGTATGTTTTAAGCATTGTCCTTTGTATTATGCATACATAATTTGGTTCTTAATTGAGGAAATGCATTAATGTTCAGATTTGGTGATTAAAATGTGGATTTGTAAACGTTCTTAAAAGAGGATCTAGTTAAATTAGATATTATTTTAAAATTTATGATAATACAAGTTCAAAGTTTTGCATACAATCAATCATTTCAAAATTATATGATGGATTACTGTAAATTCATAAATTATTGCCTGCATTTATTATTGCAATTTTTGACAAAAAATGCGAGATAAATTATTGCAAGTGCAGGAAAAGATGCATGCAGATGTATGTATCAGATATCAGAATGCGAGTTCTTATTATTGCGATGCTCAACCAGTCACATTATTAGCATTAATAAAATCCTCGCAATAATTTCTGAATTTACAGTATTCCATTTTTTATTATGAATTACCCCCCATTTCAACAGTCTCCTTTGACCATATGTTAAAACTAGATAAAAAAAAATAATTTTGCATTTTCTAAAATGTGAAAAATTATAAAACAAACCCATTTTCAACTGAGTTGGTTGTCTCATTAAATTCCTCAAAATACTTACTATAGCTATTAGTTATTTTGTAAATTATTTCCCCTTACCAACTAAGCCAGATGTATGTTACATGCATCATGTATAACTGATAAAAGTAGTTAAAATTAAAAAAAAGAAACTTGACTTCAGATTGTTAAATTAACCAATTGCACAGAAAAAAATGTATAATCATGATTCTAACTTATAAATATTCAACTTTTTAAAATTTGTTTCACAATTTCTGGTCCGAGTCAACATTATAAAATTAAATTCACAATGAAAATGACTGGTAAATTTATGAAGAAAATATGGAACACTTATTACATGATCAACAGATAATATTTTATGGGTCAAGTTTGCCATAGCATTAAACTTAATTTTATTTTAAACCTAATAATAAATGGAGAAGAATAAAAACAAATTACATTTTACAAGTCTCTTTTAAAGTATTGTGTGAAATTAACTTTCGTTTACTAGTACTAAGTTCTGTTTTATATTCTAAACTTGGATTATTCAATATTTTTCTATTTAAATATCTTTCTCATTGTTTTCAAGGAACATTATTACTGCTGTGCAGAAATACCCAATGCTTTTGGTTGTATTGGGAAGATATTTCATGAGAAGTTGGGGATGTTAAATTCTCAACAGAGAAACCTTGAAGTGGAGAGATTTTACCATGTATTGGACCAGATACTGAGCCATGAAAACAACAAACGATGTCACATGTTATATGAGGTTATAACATATAATGGTAAATTATAAGATTTCAAATGCCTAAAGGGAGTGGTGCTTGTGGAATTAATACTTCTGTTATAATCCATGTACATTCTACAAAATTGGGGAACTTTTTGTGTACACATTGTCATGAACATGGTTAAGAATTTAAGGTACTGTGGATTCATTTATTTTCGTGGATTATGGAAAAGTTGCATTTTCTTGGATATTTGATTTCATGGTTTTGCCAAAGTCGGCATACAAGCCTAAAGAAAATTTGTAATTTGTTGAACATTTAAATTTGTGGTTCACCTGTTCCCACGAATTCCATGAAAATTGCTATCCAAACAATAATATTGATATCACAGTATCAGTATTTGAAAAGTGTATTAATTTTGGCCAAAAAGTGTTTTTAATTGATGGTTATTGTGTGTTGTTAAGGTGAATACTATTTTCTTATTTTTAATTCATCTATATGTCATTCACATTATTTTAGATGAAGATAAAACAGAAGATGGTTTACCTAGTACACATATACTCAGACATTTCCATAAAGAACATACAGAAGACAGGGATGAGGTATGATATGCTATCAGAATTTTGGGTCTTCAATGCTCTTCAACTTTGTATTTTATTTGGCCTTTTTTTAACTTTTTTGATTCCAGCATTTGCTTCGGGGGTTAGAAATCACAACCTTAGTGTTGAAAAGCTATTGATACAGTAATTGGACTACTTAAACCACTCAGCCACCTAGGCCCCCTATACAAATTAAACAAGAAGAAGCAAAACCCATAACTCTATAGTAACCTACAAAAGGGCCCTGCTTACACTGGCTAGGTGGCCTAGCATGTACACCTCAGCATCACCTCCATCTGTTCTTCAATTTATGAGGAATTTTTTGCTTGATGTTTCTTTAATATAGCTAAAAATATCAAATATTTTCTGATGGTAAAGATGATCACATATAGATCTATGCAGGTTATATTAACTGATATTGCCACATCCCCGTACTGCCAAAGGATTGAGTTTACTGGTTCACCCTGTCTGTAACACCTTTCTGTCATATTTTTCATAGTGATTACAAATCAGAGCTTCTTGATAATTGATACCATTCTCCATATTGAATTGTTTTCCAGAGATGATAAGCTCACTATATGGTAAGGGTTTTACTCATTGTAGAAGATCCTATAATGACCTGAAGTTGTTTACATCCATGTCATTTGGTCACTGATAGATAGTTGTCTCTTTGGCAATCATAACAGTGTTCTAATTTTTACATTTTAATCTTTGTAATTATAGGAAACAAAGTCCCATAAAAAGTATAAGTATGATGTCTGTCTTCTGTATGGTAAAGATGATGAAAACAAGGCACATTTCATTAGACAGACACTGATGGCAAAACCAGATAAACCCAGAATTGCCGAGGCATGCCCAGATCAAGTGTCCATAGCAGAGGTTACAGAACAAGTCAAGGATTCTAAATGGGTTGTGTTACTTTTATCCAAAAACCAGAAATGGTTTGAATTTTGGATAGTAGAACTTTTATGTAGTGGTGTTGAGACTGGTGAATTTGAATCACAAGACATATGTGTACTTCCATTATTGTATAATGTTGACCCAGAATCCATTCCATCATTTATAAGGTGGCTGACATATATTGAAGCTAAAGAAGGTGAAGATTTTGTGGAAAGAATATATGAAATCATCAAAGGTAAAATTATTCTTGCAATTTGTGTAGCTAATTGTTTTTATATATTTAAAAGTAATACAGTGTACAATGGTGTATAAGGTCAAGTTGTATTAAAAGGGTGATGTCACATATTTCAACAAAGCAGCCAACAATGTGATGGTGATAGGAGGTATATATTCCAGGAAAGTTCCTAAGAATAATAATTAAAAATTCCTATACATTCAGGTCAATGGGCTCCACAGAGAGTTACATAGTAAGCAGTCATATCATTAACACTTCTCGGCTAAAGGCCTCCTCAGAACATTTGAATGTCCGAACTATGTACTGGTTACCTAAACTACACAAAAAAAAACCCTCAAAAATCAGTTCCTCTTGGCTTTAGTAAGTATTCTACAACTAATCTTTCAGTGATTTTAACTAGTTCCCTTATTACTACCAAAGAACTTATCATTAACTTTTGAAATTAAAACATGAAAATAATTGAACTAATAATTTTTGGAGTGTAAATAATTCTCTGGTATTTTTAGATCAATTATGTGCTTTTGAAGGTCCTTCCCATTTGGTTGACAGTTATGACTTTTTCACTGTATTCAAGTAACTCTTCCAAACAATCTCATCATAGAATATTAATATATTTGATAATTTCAGTACCTGATTAACACAATGACAATTTTGTGCCTAAGATTAGGTCAATGATTCACAGAATTTTAATGCTCCCACTGCTGCTGAGGGATCATTAAGTTTTACAGTACAATTAACACAACAACATTATAATAATGCAGTACCATTAACACAACAATATTACTTTACTACAGTATCATTCACACAACATAATAATAATGCAGTACTATAAGCACAACATCAAAATTTATACAGAATTGTTAACAAAACATTATTATTATCATACTGTACTAATAACACAACATTGATATTCATACAGAATTGTAAATACAATAGTATTATTATCATACAGTGCAATTAACACAACATTGATATTCATACAGAATTGTTAACACAACAATATTATTATCATACGGTATCATTAACACAACATTGATATTCATACAGTATTGTGAACACAACAATATTATTATCATACTGTACTATTAACACAACATTGATATTCATACAGAATTGTTAATACAATAGTATTATTATCATACAGTGCAATTAACACAACATTGATATTCATACAGAATTACTGAACATTCATATAAATAAAAATTTATAAAAAAAAAATATTTGATTGATTGATTGTTTGTTTGCTAAATGACCAGATGCATACTTTGGACAAGAACAAATCAAATAAGTAAATCTCAAATAACCTGATCTCCCTAAAAATATTGAAGGGATCTTTTTCTTTTTTGCTGTACTATAAGAATGTTCTATTCCTTGTAGGACAAAGGGTAGCTTTAAGGACACAGAGTCCTGTTGGGAATGTACATGAAGGACTGGTATGGGGATTTGTTGTCAATTACTTACGTCATGTTTTACCAGGTAAGAATATACGCAAAGCATGAAAACTGTCCTTACAAATGAAAATTGGTGCAAGCCAATATTGGTAGTTTGATGGTACAAGATATTTGTTAGGTTTGGAGGACGTGTCAGGGGCTTTCGGGAAGAATGAAAAGAAGCTAGCACTTCCCTTTGAATTCCTATCCAATCAAACTTAAAATAAAGGATACCACAGATGGTTTTTCCTACCTCTTTAATATCTTGACTTACATTTAGAAATTGAAAATGCAGGTCAGTTGAGAATAAAGAATTTACGATAAAAGGGATGATTTCAGCTTTCCAATTGTTAACTTTCCATTTCTATGTAGCAACATTCCAGCAGAACCTGTATATGGAGGATATATCTCCCGGTTGATATGATATTCCAGAGCTTGCGTTTCCTATCATTATTTCCTTGATAGGAGGTTGCTGCTAACAAAGATCCTTGTCTTGTAATTGTCTTAATAAAGGACTTCAGGATTTGACAGCAGCAATTATAGATCATTGAATGAATCTTAAAAATCTTAAAATGTTTAAATGACTTGAGAAATCAGCATAAAGTAAAAGAGTATTTCTGGTTATGGAAATGATATGGATCAAGCGTATTAGACATTGATAGTATTCAATTTTTATTTTCATCAGATATTACAGAAAGAATAAAGCAAAAATTACATCAACTTGGAGTAGATACAAGTGATCGACGGAATCATTATCATACTGGCTTGTTAGAACTGGTTCCACAGAATTGTGAGGTACCAGCTAGGATGGATATAATATCAGATCAATTTAAGATAGAGAACATGGGACGTATTGAAGCTACAAAGAAACAACAGCAACAGAAAGTTGTCAGAGTATTTGCATGTAACTTTTACAAATTGACAAAGGTAAATATTCAACTAATTGTAGGTCAAGGAAAATGTTCTTAAAGGATTTGGTAATGATGGCAGATCTTTAATAGTATCTGTATAAATTTGTTGTTGAAACCGTTTCATTAACCTTCAGATGTCCAGATGCAGATCCAGAAGTTTGATAAAGAGGGGGGCAAACTAAGCAACTCTTGTAGTGGGACATTAAAAAGTTATTGCATTAACCATTTATCTAGCTCATTAAGGTGGGGGGGGGGGGCTCCCACCTAAATCCGCCTCAGATAACTTTTGTTTTAATTGTATTTTTGGGTTACTGTCTCATTGAATATTCAACATCTCTTCTTATTCATTAATTTTTTTGAAAGAGCAATGATCCACAAAAGAGATGATGGAATGTTTTTAAATAATTGTTGAACTTGAACATGAGGCTATTAACCAACAAAGACCAAAGGACCAAGAAGATTTTTTGTTGAACAAATATACCTGGCAACCAGTTTCTAATCATCTAATGTAATATGATGGCTGATATAGCTTCATTTAAAAGATAAATTTCATCTAGATATAATATGACTTTTATAGAAGGATGGTGACTCTTATTACTTTGCTGGTGAATTTGCTACACCAATCAGAACATTACATGGAATGGGTGCCTCTGTTATCTGTGGTCTTACAGCAGACAAAATGAAGAAAGAAGTAAAGATGTTTACTGACAAACTGGAAAGAATTATGAAGAAGGAAAATGATGGACAAAACTGTGCCATACTTCGGGTTAATGGTGGTAAGTCAAACATACCACATTGGTTTCTAAAAATATGAAAGGCACCAGATGTATGGGAAGCCATGTAAAGAATATGTTCCTAAACCTAGCCAAAAGTATGGAGATTTCCTTGAGACTATCAACCTTACTCACCAGTTTTCTAAAAATTACAAAATTTATTGACTTAAAATTTCTAAATCAGGGTCATAAGCCAATAGAAAATGAAAGGATACGGAGTAAATATACATGGGACAAAATCGCACACAATACATAGAAAATTATCAATGAACAGGGCTTTTATTCCTGTTCTTCATCTTGACAGTTGATGTAGGATCTTTAACAATGAAGGAATCATTCATACCCTACAACAAGGTCAAGACGGCCCCAATGTACATCTGTAACAGTGAATCTTTTCTACAAGTTAATCTTTTTCTTTTATGAATAAATTCTTTATTGAGTTGTCACCTGATGTTCAGTGGTTGTCGTTTGTTGATGTAGTTCATAAGTGTTTCTCGTTTCTCGTTTTTTATATAGATTAGACCGTTGGTTTTACTGTTTGAATGGTTTTACACTAGTCATTTTTGGGGCCCTTTATAGCTTGCTGTTCGGTGTGAGCCAAGGCTCCATGTTGAAGGCCGTACTTTGACCTATAATGGTTTACTTTTACAAATTGTGACTTGGATGGAGAGTTGTCTCATTGGCACTCATATTCACAATACACAATACCATATATTTAACTCAAAATCAACAGAGATCTCCTTCACCTTTTGTTTACAAGTCAGGTTCTTATGTCATTGAAAGTTCTGGGGTTATTTTCTGGAAACCACTTTTCTGCATGAATTTAAGTCTATATTTAATATCTTCCACCTTGACAATGGACATAGAATCTAAAAATGAATAGGGATCTTCCAATCATTATTTGTGACCATATTATTTAAGTTTGTTTTAAATCTAATGTAATTGTCTAAAATCAAAATCCTGAAACTTTTTAATTAATTGCACTCAATTTCTGTGTATTTTTAATAACTATGACATTAACCTAAATTAAAGTGACCTTGAAATTAACAGGGACCTTCCTCTCATTATATGTGACCTTGGAGCTCCTATGCAAACACTCTGGAATTATTATTTGGAAACCCCTTTCTTACAATAATGTTTGTCTACTTTTTGGTGACTATGACCTTGACCTTGGAAACAGGGTTCTTCTTATTATTTGTGACCATCTATCCAGATAAGGTTGCAATCATATTTGAGGTTTTAGAGATATTATTGTTAACCCTCTTTCTAAACTTATTTCCATAAACTTTTGCAACTTTTACTTAAGTTGTTATGACCTGAAAATCAAAGCAGATCCTCCTCTCATTGTGACCAAATATCAAAGTAAAGTTGTTATTTGATGTTAAGGATGTTCGCTATTCAGTTTTAAAATAACAAGCATTTTAAAAGACTGTTATAGATGGATAGTATATAAATAAAGGAACTAAAAAAGCAGAAAAAAATGAAAGATTCATGTGCTTGTTTTCAAGATATAAGCCATTGAAAATTTGGCGGGAAATAATTCTCTCTAGATTTTTCATACGTTTAACATTGGCACCCTTTTTCTTTTAAAAAATACGAAAAAATTATAAGGATTTTATAGGATTTTCAAAAATGGCTTTTTAAACTATATGTAATAAAATTATGAAAAGAAAACTAGGGGTTAGCGGGGAAAATTTTATAATGGCACTACATGGATAAAACCAAAGGATTCCGAATATCTGGCAAAAATTCAAAAACAAGAGGAGCGAACATCTTTAAGTTTTTGATTTATCATTTAGAAACAGACAACCAACAGACAGAGGGGTAGGTCACAAACTCCATAGCCCCACTTGTTCATGCTATATTAAAGATATTATTTCTCTCTCAAAACAAATTATTCCCCTCTCAAGAATAACAAAAAGAGGACTTAGGAGAGAAATGAAATGGTTACAACTGAACACTAATAACTACAAAATACTTCAGTTATTTGTTTGACAAACAATGTCTTTTTGAAATATAGGTTAACATCTATTTACTAAAACCAGTGACATGAAAATATTCAAAAATCTAGTTTCCATTAGAAATTTATATCTAAAAAAAAAAGTTACAATTGTTAATCTTAGAATTCTTTATTGTTTTCTTTTGTAGAGAATCAAAATCTTGTAGATGAGGTGATTAAAGAAATCCGTGAGAATGAGATTTGGCAGAAAAGTCAACAATAAAAGGACAGCAGATAATAATGTCAACAACAATACTTAAATATGGCATCAAAAGGCATAACTACAAAGTACAAAGTATAAAAATAAACATGAATAAATAGTAAAATACTTATCTTTAGGTTGCAACTGTCTGCCGTGTTAAGAATCTTTTAAATAAATGGTTAACTGAATGTTGAAGCATTGTATAAATGGACAAATGTTAGTTGACATCATTAGTTAATGATCTGAAGGAAGATTTCAATCCCTTCATGTATCTGAAAAAAATACTGGGTAACATTTTTAGATATTGCTTTAAAGATAAGAATATTTTTTTATGATAAAAAAGTATTTGTCAATCAAAGAATGGGAGATAACTCACTTCATTTTAATTTGTTTATAAAAATATGATCCATTTCATTTTTGTTTCAGATAGCACACTTTATAAACATATTGTTTCTTTATAAACTGGTGAGGGAATTTGGGCAGTAAAGAAAATACATTTTTTAATAACTATATAAAAAAATGTATTTTACACATTTCATAAACAAACCAGGAATTACAATAACAACAAAAATGAAAATTCTCAACAAAATTAAGAGTTTATTAAAAATTCTAAAATATAGATAGATTTTAAATTAGAGTTTCAACAGAGAATTTTGATAATTTGCTGTTTATTAATGAATTATTTCCAAAGAAATTGTCACACAAATTTAGAGGATACTTATGTCCAGAAGATATTCCAAATGTTTTTATAAAAATCTGCTTAGGTTTATTTATGGAATCAATAAAGTTGGGTATGTCTTTCCACAGGATAGAAATGTCCAAGAAACAAAAATTTTGATCCTATTTATCTCTAAAAATAGCACATGCAGGTACAGTTTTATTACATATTTGAATTGACTAGGTGAAAAGTAGCTTGTATGCAAATTTTCATAAAAAAAAACACAGTGGAATCAAAATTGTATCATATGCCCTTAAGCGGTCAGATACTGGCTCCGATTATACTTGTTCCCTTGTGCACAGTATTGCAAAGTTCTAATCAAATGGGGATAATCAGTTTAACTATGTAAATATAGTAAACAATCTCCATGTAAAGTTTTTCTTTATCAGATACATCACGTGTTGATCATTTAAATAACCAATTTCATGCACAATAGTTCGATAAAATGATTTTCATCACATTTGTAAAATATTTTTTTCTGTACCCAAAGGTTTAACTGGGACATAGAAATATGATCAATTGGTCTTTCTCAGCTGTCATTCATATTCTACATTTCCTCAAAGAGTTTTAAGATGCTTTGTTTAAAAGGCATATGCAATTTGGAAAGATAATCTTTTACAGAATTCTACAGTGCAAAAGGATAAATTATGAACTTATAGGGATAATTTCAGAAGGAAGACTTATCTAAATGTTGTGAAGAATTTTGAAATTTTAAAAAAGCACCTCATGAGAATCAGTGCTCGTAAATTAGCTATTGAGCAGGGTAGTTATAAAAAGGTTGAAAAAGATATAAAATCATAAAAATATGATAACTAAAATTGACATTTCCTTAAAGAGTCCAACCAAGAGATGAAAATTGGAATCAATAAAATTTTGTATCATACAATTTTTTTTACTTGAAAAAAAGATAATAATTAAACAATGCTGCCATTTGTTACTATGGAAAACAAGTTGTTATTGACCATAATTTGGCCTGTACAGAATAAAGATTTACTGGTAATTCACATTGTTTTATAATCTGATGTAATTATGTATAAATTCAGTCTGATGTTCTATTTCACAAAGACAAACAATGCACCACTTTACAAACTGTTCACATCATGGTTTATTAATCATGAGTTTGTATATTTCAAATTGTATCAATTTTATGGATGTTGATCAATTTTTTATAACAATGTTTACACAGGCTTTGTACATTTTGAAAAAATATGTTTTCCCAAATATGAAATGATGACATACATTTGTATATGTAACATGTTTTTCAATAAAAAATACATTTGTGTTAATCCTGATTTATTTGTAGTTGAATTAGACAGGGTACTTTTCAGCAATCTTCTGTAATCAATCTATTTGCCTGATGGATTGTTGTCTGCAGTTTTAGTTGTAACTAATTTCTGAGATATAATATCACATTAGTTGCAATAAAATACCCTGATTTCCCAGTGAAATAAAAATTGATAATTTCACATGTGAAATAAATCCAATAACTTCACTCCTCTGACATCAAACAACATTTGTATTCAAGATGTTGTTGATGATGACATTGCATCAAAACAAATCGAGAATGTGTAGAAAAAAATATAGTTCCCTACATTTTCTATTTTATTTTCAAAAAAGTAATTGTAATAAAAAGGATAACTTATCAAAGAATTCAAATATAAAAAAAATATTTAACTTGTGACAGAAAATCACTGATAATTAACTAATGCGTTACGTGCATTTGTGAATTAATATGTTGTTCAGTCACTTGTCAAATATTTTTCTATATTTGAATTCTTGGATTAGTTATTCCATAAATAATGGAAATATATTGGGTAGATGTACATAAGATCCAAATAAGTAAGAGTAAATCAAACAACTGGATTAGAAGCTCTTGTGTTCATCGCAAAGTGTAAAAAAACATACCACCGAAAGTTTAAGAAGGTCTGATTAAATTATGAAAGGCTACAGGAAAAAATCTTAACTTATAACAAAACATCAAACAATAACTATGAAGGTAAAATAACAATTGCATCGATATTGAAGTGTAGGATCATCATCACCAGGCATGGTTTTATATACAGATATCATCAGCAAGTTAAGTATTTTTAAATTGCTTTAAGTAATTGTGAACATTTTGTGGTATTATATTGTTTTTGATATTTTAGTTTGTGTTCATGCTTATTATTGTTATCTATTATAATAATCTTATTTAAGAAACATCATAAATGCTAGTCCTTTACTGATTTTAAGTGTATGTTCTTCTATGTACATTTTGATGGTTCACTGAGATTGAAATCACACAAACATAACATAAACAAGAGTGCACATGCTGAAATGTTTCGCCTGTTTTACTTGCCATTGATTTAATGTTGAAAGTCTGCAATATGAAGGTTTTACTACAAGAATCAAATAAACTTAACATTATCATTGTTCTATAAAATTAGGTCACATTGGGATGAACCATGCCAAACAGACATGTACACCTTACAATCATTCCATACACCAAATACTGTGGTCTTATTGCTAATAGTACCCAGCAACAGATCAAACCACAAACTATTAACATTGACCCATGAACAATGAACAATGAACATGAGGTCAAGGTCATTTGAACCCTGCCAGACAATGTAATTGACATGTTGCTTATTATATATGAGAAATAGACCAATCCACAAAAATTCAACATTGTCCAATGAAACATGAAAATGAGGTCAAGGTCAGATGACACCTACCAGTTGTACATGTACACCTTACAATCATTACATACACCAAATATAGTAGACCTGTTGCTTATAGTTTATGAGATACAGAATTGACCATTTAACTTTAACCTTGTTCACTGATACACAAAATGAGGTCAAGGTCAAGTGAAAAATGTCTGACAGGTATGAGGACCATACAAGGTATGCACATACTAAATATAGTTATCCTTTTACTCATATTAAGAGAGAAATTAACATTATAATTAAATGGAGAATGTGTCTATGGGCCACAGATGCCCCTGCTTGTAAATATGCAGATGCAGGATGCACGTAGTTAAGACCGTTTTGTGATTATGAGCATTGTGTATAAGTTTATGAAACATTTGGTTGAGGCAAACTAAAGTTAGAACGGAAAGGAAAAATTCAGCAATTTTTATGATTATAAGGGGCATAACTTATGAACGGTAATAGTGACGCCACCCAATTTCGAACTTGATCTGTGTTTTGTGGTAATAAGCATTGTGTATAATTTTTATAACATTTGGTTGAGGCACACTAAAGTTAGAGAACCGAAATCTATTTTGGGGACGAACATATGCGACAGACGGACGGACGGACAAGGGTAACACTTAATTCCCCCTCCACTATTGTGGGGCATAAGAATGAATCATCCAGATCTTCTACCTTCTGAAATATTAAGCTTTTAAGTAATTAATTAATTAATGCGGCCGCAGGCTAGATCACTATCCCTATTTCTCATTTTCTGTGACAGAAGTCGAAGTGAGACAAAAATGATCCATGAAAATGAGGTGAATGTCAGATGAACCTGTTCAGACAAACACACATTTATACCTTATAATCATTCTAGACGCCATATATATAGTATCACTTACAGTATCTGAGAAACAGATCTAACCAACATAAAATGTTGACACAGAAATATGTCTCGCCTATCGGCATAAAATTAAAAAAAAGACAATCTCATGGACAGCAACATGGTTAATTAATTCAGTTGCCGGACCATTATCTAGTGCGCAGGGTATGAAAATAATCATCAAACTGATATGTACCGATAACAATGCAACTTTATACAAAATATCATTGATCTTTCACAAGTAGTTCTTATCAAATTGACTTAGGCAGAAAACTATACATTGAAAATTGCTAATTAATTCAAAGTTACTGGACCATGGCCTAAGGAGCAGGGCCTCAAATCAATATGTACAGATGGTAATGCAACTTCATATAAAATATCATTGATCATTACAAGTAGTTTCAGCAAACACCCATCGAAACAACATCTGATTCAAAAATTTAATAACACTTTTAGATATTTAGATGATATATTGGCTCTCAATAATGACGAATTCAGTATATACACAAAAGAGATTTATCCTGCCGAACTGACCTTAAATAAAGCTAATACTAACAATGAACAATTCCCTTTCCTGGATCTTGATATCTATATCTTTAACGGGAAGCTTAATACCAAAATTTATGACAAAAGAGATGATTTTTCATTTCCTATTGTTAATTATCCATTTTTAGATGGTGACTTCCCTTGTCACTATCTTATGGTGTTTATATATCTCAACTTGTTCGATTCGCTCGTGTATGTAACAATGTATTTCATTTTAACGAAAGAAATCTCTGTATTACTGAAAAATCATTACACCAGGGATTTCGATATCACAAACTAGTCAAAACATTTACTAAATTTTATCATCGGTACATACAAGGACATCATTCGTAAATATAAATCAACATGCAGACATCTTATACGTTCGGGTATTTCACATCCAATATTTTATGGTAATATTCTTTACAAAGCACAAAAATGTCGGCATTCACCTCAAAAGCTAACCAAACCTTTAAACAGACTTATTCGGAAAGGATATAGTTACGATACTGTTGTCAAGTCATTAAGGATTGCATATTTTGGTATTAATATTCATTCACTCATAGGGTCTTTGCATCGGAAATAAACACATTTATTCTAAAACCAGTTGTTGGCATGAAACGGGTTATGTTCTTCTCATATATTTCATGATGGTATGATACTAAACTCCTAACGGGAGGGATTGTACTTGATATTCATTTGATGAAGACATAATCTTTCAATCAGTTTAATTGAGGTCTGGAGCTGGCAAGTCAGTAACTGCTAGTAGTCCTTTGTTAATTTATGTATCATTGTCATTTTGCTTAGTTTCTCTTGTTACCTATTCTGACATCGGACTCGGACTTCTTTTGAACTGAGTTTTACTGTTCGTATCGCTGTGTGTTTCTTTATTCTACATTGGCTAGAGGTATAGGGAGAGGGTTGAGATCTTACAAAACGTGTTTAACCCCGCCGCATTTTTGCGCCTGTCCCAAGTCAGGAGCCTCTGGCCTTTGTTAGTCTTGTATGTTTTTATATGACCGCAAACAAATTTTGCGGTCGTATATTGATATCACGATGTGGTCGTGGTCGTTGTTAGCTATGAAATTTAAACACAAGGTTTATAACCTCAAAATGAAGGTTGGGATTGATTTTAGGGGGTATGGTCCTAACAGTTAAGAATAAGGGGCCAAAAAGGGGCCCAAATAAGCATTTTTCTAGTTTCCAGACAATAACTTGTATATTGATCTATTTGAAATTATACCACAAGTTTCTATACCACAAAGGGATGGTTAGGATTTGCTTTGGGGGGTTATGGCTCGAACCCTTTAGGAATAAGGGGCAAAAAAGGGTAACAAACAAGGGTTTCCTGGTTAATGGACAATTAAGACAATTTAAAAGCAGTGTAAGGGAGGTAATCCAAACACAACGTTTTGATTACCTCCCTTACACTGCTTTTAAATTATGTATAAAGAAATGTTGTATTATCTTGAGATGCTTAGCTGTCAATTTATTTTTAGAAGTTACTATTAAGGAATATTAATTTTAGCCATGATTATGTATGTCATTTTCTATTTTAAAAATAAAAAGGGAAAAAAGGGGGGGGGGGGGGGGGGGGGGGTAAAAAGAAATTGTGGGGGGGGGGGGTCAATTTTTTCTCATTTCAGATTTCAGAAATTATAAAGAAAAATTAGGGGGGGGGGGTCAATATGCAACAGCATAGTGTATTGCACAAAAGCATAAAAAATGGGGGTAATTTTTTTTTTGTGGGGGAGTGGGGTCAATTCGCAACAGCAAAGTGTATTGCACTAAAGCAAAAAATTGAATATAAATTCAAATCATATAACCAAGTTCTTTGACTACAGTTATTCTGTGTCAGAAACCTATCATGTGTCAAATATTTAATTACAATCCAAATTCAGACCTGTATCAAGCGTGAATATTGTGTCCATTTTTGCCCCAACTGTTCAGGGTTGGACCTCTGCGGTCGTATCCAGCTGCGCTCAGCGAAGCAATTCATTTAATTTTAGTTTATTTACATGTTTTGGAGTTTAGTATGACGTCCAATTTCACTGAACTAGTACACATTTTTATTTAGGGGCCAGCTGAGGACCACCTCTGGGTGCGGGATTTTCTCGCTGCGTTGAAGACCTATTGGTGGCCTTTGGCTGTTATCTGCTCTTTGGCTGGGTTGTTGTCTCTTTAACATATTCCCCATTTCCATTCTCAATTTTATCTATCATACTAACTTAAGCAGAAAACTAAACATTGAAAATTGCTAATTAATTCAAAGTCTCTGGATCATGACCTAGGGGGCAGTGCCGTGAAATAGTCGTCAAACTATTATGTACTTATAGTAATGCAACTTAATATTAAATATCAATGACCTATCAGAAGTAGTTCCTATCAAACTAACTTAAGGGCATACGATACAGTTTTGATACAACGGTTATATTTTTATGAAAATTTGCATACAAGCTATTTTTCACCTAGTCAATTCAAATATGTACTAAAAAATATACCTTCATGTGCTACTTTAAGAGATAAATGGGGTCAAAATTTAGACATTTACTCAAAGTTTCATTTTTTTGGACATTTCTATCCTTTGAATAGACATACCCAACTTTTTTGTTTCAAAAGATAAACACAAGCGGATTTTTGTAAAAACATTTGGAAAATCTTCTTTACATAAGTATGCTCTAAATTTGTATAACAATTCTTTGGAAATAATAAATTTCAATCTCAGTTTCATGATTTTAGAAAAAAACGGCATTTTTTAATATAAATTTATCTAATTTTAAAAAATTTCATTGGTGACTTTTTATTAAAATTGGTACAAATAATCTTCATACGTAGTCAAACCTAATGTCATTTTAAAAAAGAAGGGTCCATAAACTCGTTTCCAAGTTAAATCAGTCTGAATGATAACAAGAGTGCACACACTGAAATGTCTCGCCTGCTTTCCTGACCATTGATTTTATGTTGATAGTCCTAAATATGAAGCTTTACTACAAGTATCACATAAACTTAACATGATCCAAGAAAATGAGGTCAAGGTCAGATAAACCAAACTATAATACATGTATACCTTATAATCATTCCATACACCAAATATAGTTGACCTATTGCTTATAGTATCCAAGAAACAAACTTAACCATGAAAACTAAACATTGACCAATGAACCATGAAAATGAGGTCAAGGTCAGATGATACCTGCAAGACATGCATATAATCATTCCATACACCAAATATAGTTGATCTATTGCTTATAGTTTAAGAAAAACAGACAAAAATAAAAAAACTTAACATTGAGCAATGAACCGTGAAAATGAGGTCATGGTCAAATAAAACCTGCTAGACTGACATGCACATCATAAAATATTTCCATACACCAAATATAGCTGACCTATTGCATACAGTATTAGAAAAATAGACCAAAACACAAAATCTTAACAATAACCACTGAGCCGTGAAAATGAGGTCAAGATCAGATGGCGCCTGCCAGTTGGACATGTTCACCTTACAATCATTCCATATACCAAATATAGTAGACCTATTGCTTATAATATCTGATATAAGGACTTGACCACGAAAACTTAACCTTGTTCACTGATCCATGAAATGAGGTCGAGGTCAGATGAAAACTGTCTGACAGGCATGAGGACCTTGCAAGGTACGAATGTACTAAATATAGTTATCCTATTACTCACAATAAGAGAGAAATTAACATTACAAAAAATGTTAACTTTTTTTTCAAGTAGTCACTGAACCATGAAAATGAGGTAAAGGACAATGGTCATATGGGTCAATATCCCTAATGCGCCTCGAAATGAGGAACTCAAAAGTTGTGTGTAAACAAAAAATCTCTGTGTAGTGATATTGGACATGTTTCTATTTTTTACAAATGACTGAGCTTAACCATTTGTGGTGATTAGGAAAGTAGTGGAACATAGAATAAATGTGTAAAAACTATGGAGCTATTAAATGTGTTCAAAGTATTAAATTTTCAAAGAACTTATTGTGTTAAAAAAGGGATTTTTTACCACGAGGAGCCGCATCACGAAAGGATGTTCGGGGTATGCTAATTTACGGAAAAAGTAATCTCACTTCGTACCCCTAAAATTTAACCACATATGTGAAAATGTCACAGCTTCCAAACGAGCTATCATACATATCCAAGTTTACGATATGGACTGAGCTACAGGAAAAAACGTTACCATTACCGCCTATGGAAAAACAATTAAAGATATTGACCCATATGACAGAGGGAAACTTCATAACATAAGGCATCTATATACCAAGTATGAAGCATCTAGGTCTTCTACCTTCTAAATATAAAGTTTTTAAGTAGTTTGTTAACGCCGCCGCCGGATCTCTATCCCTATGTCGAGCTTTCTGAGACAGAAGTCGCAAGCTCGACAAAAAACAGTTGAAAAATGCATCTTTTCCCCAATATGCCACTGTTTGAAGTCACAAAAAAAATCAAATTTTACATTAGCTACGTCATAACCACCCCTGTATCTGTATCATATGCCCTTAAGCAGAAAACTTAACAATTGTTGACCCTGCAGCGGTTGCCAGGAAAACAATCCATATGTCTAGTTTTCTGCCACTTTCGTCGCAGGCGAGACAAAAACTAAATGTTGACTAATGAACCATAAAATATGAGGTCCAGGTCATACCAATAATTATATACACCAAATATAGTTGAATTATGACTTATTGTATCTGAGACTTGGACCTTATCATAAAAGTATAATTCAACAGTTCTGGTAAGGGTTTTTTTATTATTTGAAGTACAAAAGTTCTACAGCTTCCTCCCTAGTAACCGGTGTTTTATCATTAACAACAGGTTGAAAGTTATGGTCTTGTTCTATCATATACTGTAAGACATTCAGCAGTTTAACTTTGTCTCTCAATACGGCCTGATACATGTCTGATGCCTGCATTTGTTCCACTTTTCCCAGATATTCCTCTAATATTGCACAGGAGTGTCCTAAAATGTACGGACATGTTTTCATTATCTCAGCTGTAAATCCATTTTCAATTAAAAGCTTGAAATTTTTTTCTACATCTACAGTAGAACAATTTAAGTACTGTATCTGAATCTTGTCCCATTGACCTATTGATAACATCCCTAGTTTATCTCTTATAAAGAACGCTGTTCCATTATTTTTATTCCCTGTTTCTAAATCTCCAGCAGCATGCTCTGTGATTTGCATTAATGTTATTTTTTTGTTTCCATCTTCTTTCAATTCTTTGACTACTTCTTTTAACCGTGACACAGGAATTCCTAGACAAAATATATCATTTGCAATGCTGTCTTTACTTATTCCAATTTCTTCCAGATAGTTTATTCTAGCTTTCAAATCGTCTAATTTCAAATGAAGAATAGGATCCAAAATCATGGTCTGAGATTTGTTTAAGTCCAATGATTGACTTAGTTTCTCAGTTTTTGTTGTTGATTTTCCTAAGGACCTTCTATATTTTTCTAAATCCTTTAGATAACTCCTAAATCTATAAGGATTAACTGTCAATAGGTCAACAGATGGCTGTACTTCTAAACTAACCTGGAAATATTGATAAAAAATTAGCTGTTGTGGATTCACTAATTCTAATAGAGTTCATGGTCAAATTTTCATGGATTTCATGGTTTGCTTTTCATGGATTTCATGGTCTTGATTTTTCATTAAATTTGTGGTCTAATTATCATGGATTTCATGGTCTAAATATCATGGATTCCATGGTCTAATTTCCATGGATTTAATGGTCTCCATGGATTTCATGGTCTAATTTCTATGGATTTCATGGTCTAGTTTTCAAGGATTTCATGGTCTAATTTTCATGGATATGATGGTCTAATTTTCATAGATTTCATGGTCTAATTTCCATGGATTTCAGTCCAATTTTCAAGGATTTCATGGTCTAATTTTCATGTATTTCATCATCTTAATTTTCATAAATTTATGGTCTAATTTCCATGGAATTCATGGTCTAATTTCTATGGATTTCATGGTCTAGTTTTCAAGGATTTCATTATCTAATTTTCATGGATATGATGGTCTAGTTTTCATAGGTTTCATGGTCTAATTTCAATGGATTTCAGTCCAATTTTCAAGGATTTCATGGTATAATTTTTATGTATTTCATCGTCTTAATTTTCATGAATTACATGATCTAATTTTCATGGATTTAATGGTCTGATTTCCATGGATTTCATGGTCTAATTTCTATGGATTTCATGGTCAAGTTTTCAAGGATTTCATGGTCTAATTTTCATGGACATGATGGTCTAATTTTGATAGATTTCATCATCTAATTCCCATGGATTTCAGTCCAATTTTCAAGGATTTCATGGTCTAATTTTCATGTATTTCATCATCTTAATTTTCATAAAATTTATGGTCTAATTTCCATGGATTTCATGGTCTAAATACTATGGATTTCATGGTCTAGTTTTCAAGGATTTCATGGTCTAATTTTCATGGATATGATGGTCTAGTATTCATAAATTTCATGGTCTAATTTCAATGGATTTAGTCCAATTTTCAAGGATTTCATGGTATAATTTTCATGTATTTCATCGTCATAATTTTCACGAATTACATGATCTAATTTTCATGGATTTAATGGTCTGATTTCCATGGATTTCATGGTCTAATTTCTATGGATTTCATGGTCTAGTTTTCAAGGATTTCATGGTCTAATTTTCATGGACATGATGGTCTAATTTTGATAGATTTCATGATCTAATTCCCATGGATTTCAGTCCAATTTTTAAGGATTTCATGGTCTAATTTTCATGTATTTCATCATCTTAATTTTCATAAAATTTATGGTCTAATTTCCATGGATTTCATGGTCTAAATACTATGGATTTCATGGTCTAGTTTTCAAGGATTTCATGGTCTAATTTTCATGGATATGATGGTCTAGTATTCATAAATTTCATGGTCTAATTTCAATGGATTTCAGTCCAATTTTCAAGGATTTCATGGTATAATTTTCATGTATTTCATCGTCATAATTTTCATGAATTACATGATCTAATTTTCATGGATTTAATGGTCTGATTTCCATGGATTTCATGGTCTAATATCTATGGATTTCATGGTCTAGTTTTCAAGGATTTCATGGTCAAATATTCATGGACATGATGGTCTAATTTTGATAGATTTCATGATCTAATTCCCATGGATTTCAGTCCAATTTTCAAGGATTTTATGGTCTTAATTTTCATGAATTTTATGGTCTAATTTTCATGGATTTAATGGTCTAATTTCCATGGATTTCATGGTCTAATTTCTATTGATTTCATGGTCTAGTTTTCAGGGATTTCATGGTATAGTTTTTTAATGGACATGATGGTATAATTTTCATAGATTTCATGGTCTAATTTCCATGGATTTCAGTCCAATTTCTATGGATTTCATGGTCTAATTTCTATTGATTTCATGGTCTAGTTTTCAGGGATTTCATGGTATAGTTTTCATGAACATGATGGTATAACTTTCATGGATTTCATGGTCTAATTTCCATGGATTTCATAATCTAATTTCCATGGATTTCATGGTCTAATTTTAATGGATTTCATGATCTAATTTCCATGTACTTTATGGCCTAATTTTCATGGATATAATTGTCTAATTTTCATGAATTTCATGGTCTAATTTTCATGGATTTCATGGTCTAATTTCTATGGATTTTATGGTCTTAATTTTCATGGATTTCATGGTCTAATTTCTATGGATTTCATGGTCTTAATTTTTGTGGATTTCATGGTCTAATTTCCATGGATTTCATAGTCTAAATTTTCATAGAATTCATGGTCTAATTTTCATTGATTTCATGGTCTAATTTTCACGAATTTCATGTTGAAAGTTAAACAAAATTTAAGTGTTTAGTAAAGTACAAACTTTATATAGTATTGTTTGCAGATTTTTTTACAACCATAGAATCAAGAATCAATGTAAACAAATTTTTCGACATTCCAAAATGACTGGTTTTCATGAGTATCAATGCATTCACAGTATAAGCTAGGATTAGAACAACTAAATTCAGAAACTATTTTGATAGTATTACTGTATGCATTTGTTGAAATTAAAATGACAATACTTGAACATATAAACTATGCAAAACATTCAAAGTCAAGGCAACATGAATAAAGGTGCAAGGTCAAATAACCAGTGGAAATGAGAAATGCCAATTGCTAATACAACGATTCCCTTTACACTGACCTAAACAAAAACTTCCAACATCTAAACTATGCCAAAGTTTTAAAGTCAATGAACCATGATGAACCATGATGAGGGTGATGCCAATCTTCATGGAAATGAGACATGCAAATGTTAATACAACTGCATACCAAATATCATTGACTTTTCATGTGGTATGATTGCCAATGAGACAACTATCAATCAAAGTTCAAATGAAGTGGATGTAAGCAATTATGGCAACTGTACGGCCTTCAACAATGAGAAAAAACCTTACAGTATAATCGGCTGATATATATATTACCTAATCACAAATTTTAACATGTAAACTATGCGAAAGTTTCAAAGTCACAAGACCATGACTGAGGGAGCGTAGCTAAATAATCACCATAGATCTGAGATGTGCAAATGCAATATACAACTGCCTACCTAACATCATTGACCTTCCACTAGTGGTTCCCCTTAAACTCACCTAATCACAAACTTTAGCATATAAACTAAGGAAAAGTTTCAAAGTAAATAGACCATGAATGAGGATGGGACGCCAAATAACCTCCATGGAAAAGAAATGTGCAAATATTAATGCTAATACAACTACATACAGAATATCATTGACCTACTACTAATAATTTCCCTGAAACTGACCTAATCATAAACTAATTCATAGTTAACACAGCAGACACCACCTCAAACAGCACATTTAAGTCTCCATTTTTTAACTTTGTCAAGGCAAGATAAAAACCAAATAACTATTGAATGACACATTTGATAAACAAATAAAATAACCGAGTTCCAATGTCCCCACGTTGCACATATTTTATCTGTCTAAGGGCAATAACTAAAAAAAATCTTTTTTTGTTCTTTAAAATTTTTATAAATATCTTAGAGAAATGAAGGTTTGTGATTAAATACAATACAATTTCCAATATAATTAATGTTTCCAAGGAGCACAACTCTTTTAAAAATAATTGATTGGCACTGATTTTAGAAATTGTCCAAGACATTGCTAATATAAACCTTTGATATAAATTTGATTAAAATCTGGCAAAAATTGTACATGTGAGATAGCTTACAATGCAATTTCCCATATATTAAAGATATCCAAGGGCATAACTCTTTTAAAAATTGTTGATCGGTACTGACTGATTTTCGAATTTGTCCAAAACATTACTGATATAAACCTATGATATAAGTTTCATAAAAATCTGGCAAGAGTTGTAAACATGAGAGCACTAACAATGCAATTTTCCATATAATTAATATTTCTAAGGGCATAACTCTTTTAAAATTGTTAATCTGCACTGATTTTCAAACTTGTTGAAGACAATGCTAATATAAACCTATGATATAAGTTTTATAAAAATCTGGCAAGAACTGTACATGTGAGAGTGTTAACAAGACTTGATGGACAGATTAAACGGACGGACAGACAGATGGACGCCCAGTATTTCTATGTCCTCTGCAACGTATCAGATAGGGGACAATAATTTACAGATCCTCAGGTCATAGCATCTAACGTTTTACCAAAGTTTGAAGGACAAACCTTAATATTATTAAATAATCAATGAAAATATTTCAGCTATAGTGTGACGTGTTATGAATGAATACAACGTTAACTAAACTGTACTGAAAACAGCAATGTACATGTATGTCATGCTGCTTATGCATAAACAATTTTATCTGTCAAAATTTCCAAACCTTTTCACTGCTTACTAATTCACTTGTATGCAAATATTTTAAAGTTTACAAGCATGGCTACATTGTATATAATTATGAAAACACAATGTGAACTGTGATAAAGTCGACCTTAGTCAACATACGCCACGTTCATTTACAGACAAAAAGTTAAAAACTCAATGGATAGAGGAAAACATTAAAAACTCATTTTATGTATAATAAATAGCATGTTCAGACATCCCTATGAGGTAAACTTGGAACTTAGTATATCAATAATGAAATTCATTTACTTAAAGACAATATTAGGTTACATCTTTGAAAAGAATCATAAGTAACTGCAAATATCTAAATATTATGAGTTTATACCTGTCTGACTTTATCCAAACGTCCTGTAAGCATTTTCATACTTCTTTGTAAAATCTGTGGATTGCATCTAATATCATTAACACTGTACCCTTCACTCAGTAAAAACTGAATGATTTTAATACTACTCTTCCACTTTGACACAGGTACAATATTTTGTAACTCTTCTAAATCTGCCAGTGGCAGAACATCTTTTAACTCTGAAATTCCATATTTGACTATTGAAGAGTCTTTTAATTTGGGAACTGGTGATAAATCATGCATGTCAGAGTCAACTTCCGTCAAAGCAGGTGAATTCTGCTTCTTCATTATCTGTGGAATTAACACAGCTTCATGAACATTACTCTCTTTTGTATTATTTACAGTTTTTTGGATATCTTTAAGTTTTGGGACTACACATAATATATTTTCAACAATGTCCTCAATAGAAATTCCAAGTTGTAGAAAAAAAATCAATTTTTCTTTCAGCTGTTTAAGTCTTTTTCCCTTCAATACTAACTGGATATGTTCTTCTTTCAACTCAACATTGCCGATGTTTTCTATTTCCTGAAGAATCTGTTGAACAGAGTTTTTAGTCTGCTGTATGTGTTGGGCTATTTCCTGAAGTTGATGTACAACTTCCTGTTTTGTTTGACAACCTGACCAAATACAAGAATATCTATCAAGCTGCATCTTAATTATTTCCATCTGACGATAATTATACTTCAGTAGCTCAAGTCTGGTTCTGTTATTTACAAATGGACAAGTCTGTAAAAGAAAAATCATTCTGATAACTTATGATAGACACAAGAGTCATTTTCTGAGATAGGACCCATTCTGAATGAAGTTATGAGCATTTAAACATGTTATATAAACATATAAATAGGGGAGAAGACACTAAATAGGTGATACAAAAACAATCAGTTAAAGAGAATGCAGACAACAACAAAAGCCAAGAAAAAGACTATAACAAGTCTACACAGGAAATTCATGATTGAGAAACTCCATCAATAATACATGTAAATAACACACATTTAGAGTTCCATGTAAGACTCACACAGAATCTTTATATAATTAAAATTAAAATTATTTCACAATACCTAGCTTGCTTAATGAAGTTTGGGTATATATTGATCAGGATGTCTGTCAATCTGTTTGTCCGTTCGTTAATCAGGACCAATTTCTACTCATCCAAAGAATGAATTACAAGGAGACTTTCACATACTCTTAAAATATGTAATATACTTGTGCATCTCCTATTTTATTTTTTAATCAAAATGTTTTCTAGGGTTTCTCATACATAACATGGACTTTGCCCTTTCATATTATAGAGGGTGAACATCCCCAGCCGCAACTCCGCCTAAACTAGTGAATGGATTTCAATCAATCTTTCACAGATTCTTTATAACATAATGTATTTGTGCACCTCCTATTTTCCTTTTTGATCATAATGATTTCTGGAGTCAGTGGAGAGTCCCATACAAAAATATGGACTTTGCCCTTTCATATTATAAAATTGTTTTAGGTTGCTGTTTAAACACAACAATAGTATATTGACTTGACGTAATAAAAATGAGGATTAGGCACCAAATTGAGAAAACGCTCTGCAGATCCTCACATTTTCCCTGTTTCTAAGCCTTATGATTACATCTTACTATGTCAAGTCAATTATATAATTTTAGTCTATATACATAACATGATTTTGTATCACAGCTATTACTGTTGCCAAAAAGTAGTCTAGCCTAGACTGTGCAAACAGTGCCAAATATAAGGCAAGTGAATAAAGATATTAAATTAAAATTTCATTAAAAGTTCACAAATCACTTAGTGAACTTAATTTAGCCTTAATATTTTTGTATGTTTTTGTAAATGCAACCTTTAGTTTCTGGCTGTTTAAAAGCCTGAATGTTTTACCCCGAATAAAACCATTACTATCTGGCTAATCCTGTTTTATATCATTATAGTTCTAACCTTTTTAATCCACTCAATTCTCTGCTGAATAGAAGTAATCTTCTTTGATAGAACTTGTGGATGGTTTTTTATCTCCGTTGTACTCAATCCGAACTCCAACAGTAGGTCAACTTTAGCACAAGCTTGAACAAAGAGCATCAATGTACAATTAAAGGTGTTTTTATACGGGAAGTGCTTTTTAATTTGATGCCATTCAGTTTGAGTTGTACATTTCAGTTTTTTCCTCAATATCTCGTCTCTTGAAGAAGATTTTTTACCCAATGTAAGCTTCTTAGTACCTGAAACTACTATAGTTTCATCCTTTGTTAAAAACAGATCAGGTGTTAAATTAGACATATTTGCAGCCTTTAGTCTTTCTCCCTGCTCTTGGATTTCGGAGCTAGATAAATCAAAAATGTCAATATGCTTGGGTATAAGATGTATGTCACATCCATAATTCACCAACAGAACCAGTTTATTCCTTAACTCTGCGTAGTTAGTAGGAGTCACTTCTTCACCTTTGATTTCCAGACTTTCAACTATCTGAAAACAAGTAAACATTCAAAATACAAAGAGATTAAAATGATATTATAGTCAAAGTCAAGAATGAAGTCAGTGACTGTTGCTAGGTTGTTTAAAATACAAAGATAACAAGAAATGATTGTAACAGGATGCTGTTACGAAGTCTCCCAAACGAAGCTCCCATAATTCGTAATTCCCAGGGTCGCTTGACATTGGGCAAAGTCCAGTGAAAATTGGTTTGGTCCAGTAAAGTTATCTGCATTAATGATGCCTGGGGACTAACCCTGTATATCATTCAAATCATCTTTGCATGACATACCAGAATATATATGGTTTAGGGGTGGGGATCTCAACCATTTACAAGATACTAGAACATTGGGGGTGGGGGGGAACCTCTGGGGACTGACCCTATATGTCATTCAAGTGTTCGAGACATGACGAACAGGAATATATATGGTATAGGGGTGGGAATCTCGACCATTTACAAGATATTAGAACTTTCTCAAATGGCAGGGGGTCGGGATGACCCCTGGGGACTACCCCTGTATATCATGCAAACCATATTCGCATGACAAACCGGAATATATATGGTTTAGGGGTGGGGATCTTGACCACTTACAAGATATTAGAACTTTCTTAAATGGCAGGGGGTGGGGGTGACCCCAGGGGACTAACCTTGTATTTCATTTGAAGTGCTTTATCATGACAAACCAGAATATATATGGTTTAGGGGTGGGGATCTTGACCATTTACAAGATATTAGAACTTTCTCAAATGGAGGGGGTCGGGGTGACCCCTTGGGACTAACACTGTATATCATTCAAACCATCTTCGCATGACAAACCAGAATATATATGGTTTAGGGGTGGGGATCTTGGCCACTTACAAGATATTAGAACTTTCTTAAATGGCAGGGGGTCGGGATGACCCCTTGGGACTAACACTGTATATCATTCAAACCATCTTCGCATGACAAACCAGAATATATATGGTTTAGGGGTGGGGATCTTGACCACTTACAAGATATTAGAACTTTCTTAAATGGCAGGGGGTGGGGTTGACCCCTGGGGACTTACCCTGTATTTCATTTAATGTGCTTTATCATTTAGAACATTTTCAATTAAAAAGATTGTGTCTATCACAAACGGTTTCCAATTTATAATCATTTGAAAATTTAAAAAAATAAAATCCCATAGGGTTCTATAGTAAAACCCTCCTTTCTTTTTGCCCCTCAAAGTACCCCTTTATAAACCCCATTGCACAAACAAAACCCTGATTGCACCACTAGAAATGTTAGTCTAACATATTGTGAAACCCTAAGTTAATCTGACAAGCGGTTTTGGAGAACGGGTGCAGACAAGTTCAAATTTAAAAGCGACGTAAGAGGAAAAAGAAGAATAACTAGATTTGCCATTGCAAGCAATAGCGGATGTCACCCTTCCCCCATTGACACTAAGCGGCAGCCATTTCAAATTTTTTTAACAGTGAATGCACATGTATGCATGGCTATACATCTTTCTGTAAATTTTCAGTACATTCAGAGCATTTCAAAATTTTTCACTTTTTTGCCGTTTCCATGACAACGGCAGCCATTTTGAAAATTTCAAAGTCAAAAGTCTCATCTTTACTTGCCAATTAACAATAACATCGAGTTTCATTAAGTTCAAAGCTTTTTGAATTTTTTTTACATTTTTGCAGTTTCCATGGCAACGGTGGCCATTTTGGAAATTCCAAAGTCATAAGACTTATCTAGACTTGCCAGTTAACAATCATATTAAGTTTCATAAAGTTTGAAGCATTTTGAGAATTTTTGACATTTTTGCTGGTTCCTATGGTAACAGAGACCATTCCCAAAATTTAATGACAGATGCCACATTGGTATATGGGAGGGAACATACCATCAAAGTTTCATGGGATTTGACCTACCATTTTAAGAAAGTAAATGCTACTTTAAGGTTTTTGGAGCATTTTGATCATTTTTGCAGTGTTTCCATGGTAAAGGCAGACATTTTGGAAATTCCAAAGCCGAATTTCACATCTACCAATGTTGCTCATCGTTACTGTGAAGTTTCATTAATTTTGGAGCATTTTGATATTTTTGAAATTTTTGGTGTAGTTTCCATGGCAACATAGTAGTTCCAATGATTGCCAAAATCATCCAAAACCAGTATATAGTGGACACCTTCATTGTATTAAAATCTAATGATTTTAAGTTTATGCATTCTCAAATAATTCACCAAACTCTAAAATTTTATTTGTTCACTATCTATCGGTTTCCATGGTAACGGCAGCCATTTTTTAGTGCCAAAGTTCCACTGCAACGCATAAGCTGGAGTTCCTTGTTATAGTGAACAAGCATTTAGATTGGTTCCATTGGCTTTGAGAAAACTCCCGGACAAAATTTGGTGGAAGTATAATAATAATAATAATAATACAGAAAAAGAAACAGAGGAAAAGCAATATGTCACCAGACATTGTCGATCGGGTGACATAATAATAATAATAATAAGAACTGAGCAAAACCAATTAGTCTTCCCAAACTTCGTTTGGGAGACTTAATAAAATGATATAATAGTCCAAAGGCAAGAATGAGGTCAGTGACTGTTGCTAGGTTGTTCAAAATACAAAGAGATTAAAATGATATAATTCTTATATGATTTGCATATTAGGGAATACATTGATATGATTGGTTGAGAGGACTTCGGCAATTGTTCTTGATGTTGACCGAACTTCTTTTCGTAACCAATGTAAACAAGATGGCGGCGATAATGACACAATCCGGATCGACGTTAACAAAATTTATTTTCACTTCAAGTTAATCGTTAAATTAAATAATAAACACAAAACATTCGTTTGAATGATAATAAGAGTTTTTGTAGTTTATTTTTTTTATCAGATTGCAAATTTCATGGAGTACATATTTTTGCGTTAACCAACAAATATATTCATGCGCCAGGCAATTCAATGACACAAATATACAATTTACGTGTGATAGAGGTTACGAGTGTGGAAAAATAAATTCCTTATCTCCAATTTTAAAGAATTATAAGGATTAAACGCCTTTTTAAAGGAATTTATTGGTGTATAAACTGTACCAAGTCACTCACAAACATATCATAAAAGACTTTTATTTGTTTGTGAGTGAATTGGTCAAGTTTATACACCAATAAATTCCTTTAAAAAGGCGTTTAATCCTATAATAATACAATGTAGTCCAAAGTCAAGAATGAAGTCAGTGACTGTTGCTAGGCTGTTTGTGGATCTTGCATTGGTGTTGTTCATGTTGTTAACACATCTTTGCTTTGGTGGTTTCTGGTTAATTAATTTACAACTTGTCAAGACTATAACAACTTAGTACCTTTCAATTGTAAGTATTAATAATAATGTAGCTGGGTCAACTGACAGTAATTTAGAAACTGATTTTTTTTTTCAAACTGACGTGATATACATGTAGCGCAAACTTTGGCAAGATTGGCTAAACATGCAATAAATTTTTACCTTCATAAACGAATTCAGTATTCATTAAAGTATATTGACTGACAAAACAATAAATTCTCCTTAGTCTTAAATCAAATGAAATATAAATATAATTTCTAGGAAAGGAGTTTGTTTCCTAAAGGCTATGGTTAGATTTACTCAGTGAACAATTGTTTATATTACATTTAATTCAACATAAAAATATTTTGTATAAATATACCTTTTGGAGTACAGAATCAATTTTAGAATTCCTTGGCTCAGTACTCATCTCTCTTATGTGACATTTCAGCATAGTTTTATAGACAGGTACATATCTTTCTTTCTTTGAGGTACAACCACTGGGGTTTTCCTGTGTAGTGCATATTCTCTGTGAGGTCAAACCTCTATTGCTTGTCTGTGTAAAGCATGCAGATGCAATACTCCTTATAATTGTTTCAAATCTTATATGGCTTCTATATCTGCCTACCATAAGAACAGTAAAAAAATTGTGATGTGTCCTCCACATTTTGTCTGCTAATTACAAACAAAAATAATTTCTGTCTTTTAGTGGTCTTTGTTTCCTGGATATGAAACCATCTGTACTTTACAACTTCAATGACTCACACAGCTTCACTGAAAAATATACAGAATGAATTAAATCAAACATAAAAGTTCTACTAATGGTGCATTAATTTCGTGTGTTGATAAGTTAAGGTACATGAGGTCTTATTTAAAAATGAAAGATTTTTTTAACACTTTGCCAAAATGTAGTTTATATCATGCTTTTTCAAAACTATAATACAAAATATGGATCATAAGAGTTATTTTACAATCTATAGGTTGTGCTAAATCGTCAGATTTTTCAGTAGAATATACATGGAAAACCCCAATTCATGTGAATTATTCAATAGAAAGACAAGAGTGCACACGCTGAAATGTATCGCCTTCTTTACTAACCATTGATATTATGTTGATAGTCCTAAATATAAAGCTTTACTACAACTATCACATAAACTTAACATGATCCAAGAAAATGAGGTCAAGGTCATATAAATCAAACGAGAAATACATGTACACCTTACAATCATTCAATACACTAAATATAGTTGACCTATTGCTTAATAGTTTATAAGAAACAGACTTAACCAAGAAAACTAAACATTGACCAATGAACCATGAAAATGAGTTCAAGGTCAGATGAACCATGCCAGGCAGACATGTACAGCTTACAATCCTTCCATACAACAAATATAGTTGACCTATTACTTATAGTTTAAGCAAAACAGACCAAAACACAAAAACTTAACACTGAGCAATGAATCGTGAAAATGAGGTCAAGGTCAAATAAAACCTGTGAGACTGACATGTACATCATAAAATATATTTCCATACACCAAATATAGTTGACCTATTGCATATAGTATTAGAAAAAAAGACCAAAACTCAAAAACTTAACTATAACCACTGAACCATGAAAATGAGGTCAAGGTCAGATGACACCTGCTAGTTTGACATGTACACCTTACAATCATTCCATACACCAAATATAGTAGACCTATTGCATACAGTATAAGAAAAACAGACCAAAACACAAAACTTAACTATAACCACTGAACCATGAAAATGAGGTCAAGGTCAGATGAAACCTGCCAGTTGGACATGTACACCCTACAATCTTTCCATACACCAAATATACTAGACCTATTGCTTAAAGTATCCGAGATATGGACTTGACCACCAAAACTTAACCTTGTTCACTGATGCATGAAATGAGGTCGAGGTCAAGTGAAAACTGTCTGATGGGCATGAGGACCTTGCAAGGTACGCACATACCAAATATAGTTATCTTATTACTCATAATAAGAGAGAAATTAGTATTACAAAAAATCTTAACTTTTTTTCCAAGTAGTCACTGAACCATGAAAATGAGGTCAAGGACAATGGACATGTGACAGACAGAAACTTCGTAACATAAGGCATCTATATACAAAGTATGAAGCATCCAGGTTTTCCACCTTCTAAAATATAAAGCTTTTAAAAAGTTAGTTAACGCCGCCGTTGACGCCAGATCACTATCCCTATGTCAAGCTTTCTGCGACAAAAGTCGCAGGCTCGACAAAAACTAAACACAAGAATTTTAAATCAAATATGAAAACAAAGCTCTTGTGCTTTTAGAAAATGTAAAGAAAAAATTGGGGTCAAAGGACTTGTTTTCTTGCAACAAAACTAAATTGGTAAATTTATAGTACATTTGTAAATGTTATATTATTTGTAACTAATCTTTTACTAATGTACTGTGTATATACATTTCAGGTATCATTCATCCTTATAATTAAAGATATAAACCTAGGGAGATGCTAACTCTCATTTACGACTGATATGTATTAAAAACTTGAATAATCAAACTGTATATCAAAGTTAATTATCCAGTATCCTCATCAACACAGTAGTTAATTTGAATTATTTCCCATTATATTCATGATATTGCTTAAAGTTGGAAAATTGAATCAAATGTGATTGTAAAAACAGTCATAATGATACGTTAAAACACACAATTTTCTTCACTAAGATGAAAAGTCTAACAAATGAATTGCATTCTCTTTCAAAATTGCATATTCTATTAAAGATCTAGACTGATTATTTCCTGCTATTTTACCACGAAAGATGGTGGTAGACACCATTAAACTTTCCACATATTTTTTGGAACTCAAGTTGTATTGCAAGTTACAGCAAAATGCATGGCATCACATTTGTATGCATTTATAGTTTCAAAAATCAAAATGTTTTGCTCTATAATTGTCGACAAGTCTTTTTATGTACTTTTCATTGCAATTTTCAAAATAGCATGATACTTTCATCTCCTATACCTTTTAATATGAGTTTTTTTTATCTGAAATCATCAAAACTCACTGTTTGTACTACAGAAATAAACTTAAAATAAATATTGTATATTAACTAAAGAAATGTATATTATATTAAATTCCAATGCAGGCCAGACATTGCTTTAAATGAAAATGAAAATTTGTAAAATCAAGAACTTACAAAGATGACCTAACATATATACATTTCAATGACACTTACAAAGATGACCTAACATATATGTATTTCAATGACACTTACAAAGATGACCTAACATATATATATTTCAATGACACTTACAAAGATGACCTAACATATATATATTTCAATGACACTTACAAAGATGACCTAACATATATATATTTCAATGACACTTACAAAGATGACCTAACATATATATATTTCAATGACATTATTGAAGAGATAGAAAACTTATCATTTAAGTTTAACTGCATTATTTGTCTGAATATCATCATAGAAATCTGAACTTTTATGAAAAAGATAAACATAAAAATGATGAGATATAGTATGATTGCCAATGAGACATTACTCTCCACCAGAGGCCAAATGATGTGCAGTTTGTTCTTTGATGTGTTGTTACACCAATGACCATTGTTCAAGGTAAGGAGGAGGATTGAGCTCTTATTAACATGTCTGACCCCACCACATTATGAATGTGCCTTTCACAAGTCAGGACCCTGTAATTCAGTGGTTGTTGTTGGTTGCTGTCTGCTATAACTGTTTATTGCATTGTCATGAATTAGGCCATTGTTTTTTATTGTTTAAATTGTTCTACATTTTGTCATATCACTGATGATGTCAGGGCTTTAATCATAGCTGACTATACGGTATGAGTTTTTCTCATTCTTGAAGGCCATTCAATGACCTATAATTGCTTAAATCCAAGTTGTTTGGGCTCTGTTGGATACTTGTCTCATTGGCAATCATACCACATCTCTTTATTTTATATTAAAGTACTTGGCATCACCTCTTGATGATTGCATGCAGTATATTGTAACTCCAAGATTTCACCACACACATATGACATACATGTAGGCATGATACATTTTAGGTTAAACAAAAAGTTGATGCTATTTTCTATATTGGAGTGCATCCCTTATATTTCATTGTTATAATCTTAACACATCAATATTTAACTCAGCTATTCACATCAAACCATTTGTACATTTGTAATTTTCATTTTCCCCTATTTTTGATTTGATTAATATTTATATGTTTCTTGTTGTAAGTTATCCTCCTTAGTCATGTTGAAGGCGGTTATGTTCACTATTATAAAATATGGTAGAAGAAGAATATTTTTTACGTTATTGAATAAGAGTCAATGTGGTCCATGTTTGTGAATGTAACAAAGTACTGAATTCCATTGTTGATCTTTTCAATTTACATAAAACAGACATGTAGGTTAGACAATTGTGCATTATTATTTTTCAGATGAAGCACACATTTGTTATAGGGAAAGTCACGACTATACATGACTATCATTTCAAGTTCTGTTCTGTTCTGGTATATTCCTCCGTTTTATCGGAGCACTCCACTTATCGAATGAGTATTAAAATTTTAAATACATAACCGAAAAAGCGGATATTTTTATATTTACGATATGAAAAATATAATTTAAAAATAAAATTAGCTAGTTAAAGTGAATAAAATAAAAGTTTAAAATGTACTTGATGATATATTAAAAGATATAATGCACACATCACAAATTACGGCACTTTGATTCACCAATATGAATAAATCAAAAATTTACAACCTAATGATTTCTAGTCGATACATTGTAAATGCACTGCCAAGGCAAATGTTAAAATTATATAGCATTATCTTGTATGCTGATATTTATAAACTGAACCAGTTAGCTTGGCATCCCATGCAGACAGTTCAGACTATATTTAATATCACTATATTTGATATTATCGGAATTCCAATGGGGACTAACTGTGCACCACTTATTGCGGACCTGTTTTTGTATTGTTATGAGTTACAATTTATGACTAAAATCAGCAAAGACCCATCGAAACAACATCTGATACAAAAATTTAACAATACTTTTAGATATTTGGATGATATATTGGCTCTCAATAATGACGACTTCAGTATGTATACTAAAGAACTTTATCCTGTTGAACTTACTTTAAATAAAGCTAATACTAACAATGACAACTGTCCCTTCCTCGATCTTGATATCTATATCATTAACGGGAAGCTTAATACAAAAATTTATGATAAAAGAGATGATTTTTCATTTCCTATCGTTAATTATCCATTTTTAGATGGTGACGTTCCCTTGTCACCATCTTATGGTGTTTATATATCTCAACTTGTACGATTCGCTCGTGTATGTAACAACGTATTAGATTTTAGCGAGAGAAATTTATGTATTACTGAAAAATTATTACACCAGGGTTTTCGATATCATAAACTAGTCAAAACATTTACTAAATTTTATCATCGGTACAAGGACATCATTCGTAAATATAACTCAACATGCAGACATCTTATACGTTCGGGTATTTCACATCCAATCTTTTATGGTAATATTCTTTACAAAGCACAAAAATGTCAGTATTCACCTCAAAAGCTAACAAAACCTTTAAACAGACTTATTAAGAAGGGATATAGTTACGATACTGTTGTCAGGTCATTAAAGATTGCATATTTTGGCTTTAATATTGATTCACTTATAGGGTCATCGGAAATAAACACATTTATTCTAAAACCAGTTGTTGGCATGACACGGGTTATGTTCTTCTCATATATTTTATGACGGTATAATACTAAACCCCTAACAGGAGGGATTGTGCCTGATATTCATATGATGAAGACATAATCTTTCAATCAGTTTAATTGAGGTCTGGAGCTGGCATGTCAGTAACTGCTATATACTATAGTAGTCTGTTGTTATTTATGTATTATTGTCATTTTGTTTATTTTCTTTTGTTTCCTATTCTGACATCGGACTCGGACTTCTCATATACTGAGTTTTACTGTGCGTACTGTTGTGCGTTTGTTTTTACTACATTGGCTAGAGGTATAGGGGGAGGGTTAAGATCTCAAAAAACATGTTTAACCCCGCCGCATTTTTGCGCCTGTCCCAAGTCAGGAGCCTCTGGCCTTTGTTAGTCTTGTATCATTTTTAATTTTAGTTTCCTGTGTATAATTTGGAGTTTAGTATGACGTCCATTATCACTGAACTAGTATACATATTTGTTTAGGGGCCAGCTGAAGGACGCCTCCGGGTGCGGGAGTTTCTCGCTGCATTGAAGACCCATTGGTGGCCTTCGGCTGTTGTCTGCTCTATGGTCGGGTCGTTGTCTCTTTGACACATTCCCCATTTCCATTCTCAATTTTATATTAATATACTGTTATATTTTCATGTCACTTGATATCACATAAAAGTTGTGTACGCTTCATGTGTAAATGGTAGCATAGATCTTGTGTCTTCCTTTCTATATCTAGCAACTTGTCTATTGGCTGATTACTCATTATGTCTAGTGCTGAGCAGTCTAATATAATTTTGAGTAATAGTTCATTATTAATAACATTTGTTGTACCACCCCTTTCTATTTCTCGTAGCATTTTGAATAATTTATCCATATATCGCTGCCTAACATCAGTTAGACTTATTAAGGTTTCTTCAGATTCATTGCATAGCTTGCAATTTGGATAAATAGTATTTTTACTAATTAAATTTTGCCCTAGTACTTTGGAGCATGTAGGTACCAGTTACTAGCTTACATTTTAATTCTGCCTTTTTTTATGTCATATTGGTTATTTCTAACACATTTCCAAATGTTATGTGGATTATTGACCGGATCTTTTTGAAGAGATAAATGTTTAAGCGTTGATTTTGTGTTACATTCTATTGTCCAAATTGAAGACCACTGTTCATTTATTGATGTTTCAATTGTTTTTTTCCACATATATTTTGATGGAGGATGTTCCATAATTTCTTCTGCTTTTGGCAATTGATATTTTTGCCAAATTTTATTTATACGACAATTTCTAGTATTTTACGTTCTATCGAGCCATCCAGGCGAGAGATTGAGAGAAATAGTGCTAGCATGTTTTTGTCTAAAATCGACTCAATGGGCTCAGCTCCTATTAGTATATATACTGCTGCGAACGCTGTTCTTTCTGGTAGACATTGGAATTGTTTAAATATCTTCCTTTGTAATTTTTCCAGTTCAGATATATCCTTTTTTGTGCATATTTGAACCTCGAGCCCATAAAAATAACGTGGGACAGCGTAGGTTTTCCATACTTTTTTAAGCACTATGGGTGACATTCCTTTTCTTGCATGTAGACCAGAACCTAGCAAGGCATATATAGTTTGTCGGCCTGTTTTAAGTCTTTCTTTAAAATCCTCCTTTATTATTGGAACACCTAACGGTGATATTTCAAACAAAGATGTGCGGACATGAGAAATACCTAGGACTAATACATGAATTTATATATTGGTTCCAGGAGATACCTAGAACAGAATCTTGACTTCAGTTCACAAAAAGGCGAAGACTGTCTATCGTGACCTATGGCCAAACCAAGAAGTTGTATTTACTATACTGTAACAACTCTTTGGTCAAACTCAGCAAAGACCTGTCTAATTTCCATTTGATTAATAAGTTCAAGAACATTTTTATCTGGATAATTCATGCAATAATTTACTTTGGTTGGACTATATACAGGGGCGAAACCAGCCATTTTTAAAAAGGGGGTCCAAACCCAGGATACAGGGGGCCGGGGGGTCCAACTATATGTCCCCATTCAAATGCATTGATCGTCAAAAATAAGGGGGGGGGGGGGTCCACACACCCCAGAACCACCACCACCCCCTGGATCCACCAATGATATACATGATAAAAAAATTAAGGATTCAATTGGTAGACATGCTATAACAACTTGTGGTAGCATGTTCCACTGAACTATTATGTGAGGAAAGAATTACCATTTATAACTTTCTTTTGTAGTAAATATTTGCCGAAATGTTTGGTGTTGTGTTTTCTTGTTCTGGTGTCTGTTGAGATTAGTGCTAGTGATGGTATTGCAATTAGTCTAATACAGCTAACAATTTCCAATAAATCTATGGCTTACACGAATTGTTTCTTTAGTTACCTCAATTGTTTTTAATTTATAATTTTCAACCGTTACATTATTTTTGTTGGCTGCTATTTACCGCCAAACCCACAGTTTACATATCGAAACTAGGGAGTGAGCCGGCGCCATGTTGATTTGCTGAAAATCATAAATGTGTGGATAATGCAATAGAATAAAAAATAATTAAAACCTACATCAATAATCAATTTTAATGCAATATTATCCGAATTAGGAGCGTAAACGTAACGGAAAAGCCTCCAGCTTCAGAATTTTCATTCGTATGACATTATGTTTTGAAATGGCGTTAATGCGCCATGAGCATTCATGGGATTAGCAGAATTGTATTCTATTTTAATTTTGTACATTTTCGAAGCTCTAATGCATTAATTCTTTTTTGTTATACATTGGAATTAGAATAAAGGTTCTGTTTTTTTTTTTTTAATTTCAATTTCAACATCGACATAGGAGGTTCCGGACGGGGGTCCTTTATTTCTGTATTCTTTAATTTTTTAGGCCATATTTTTCTATTCTTTATACTTTTTGCCCATCATTCTCTTTTCTGTAAACCCCCATCCACACCATTAATAGGTACATCTCTGATAGACAATGGTATCCTCTGGTTGTCTGTTGTTGTTTAAACACACAATAATTTAAGGTTCACTTTGGTGTTGTATGGCATTTCTCCAATTCAAGTACTTTACTTAATTTATAGGATTGCTTTTCACACATGCATAAAAATAAAATAAAAAATAAAGCAATAGGGAACAAATAGAAGATTTCAATTCCTTTTGTACTGCAATTTTAAAATCTAAATAAAATGCACATGTTATAGTCTTGAATATATCTCAGATGCATCATGAATGTATAGCCAGATTGTTCCCGATGGAATTTTCATTCTATGAAAATATAGCCAATGGTGTGTAAACATATCTTTAAAAATATATGTCTATATCATTGTCTTTTTTCAGATTGATCGAATAGGCGTATGAAAATATAAAATGGACAAAGCAATAAAATATAGGGTATTAAGTCAACATATGTTGCTGAAAAGAAAACCAAAAAGACATCCCATCTGTGTCTAAAATGAAAGAGATTAGATATCGCATTTCACAACAAGACATCGTTTATAAAATCAATTTCAATTGTCTAAAAAACTTATAGAAATAAAAAAGCTGTATTGACGTTATCATTGCATCTACAAACCAGTTAATTCTTTGAACTCATGTAATTTTTCTTGCTTTAAACAAGTATATTTTCCACTCTATGGATACCTTTTACGTTTAAGGGATTTTATAAAATGGACAAGTTTCATATCATCAGTAAAGAAAACAATGCTAATTCAGATGTAAATGAGAAA